CCGCGGCGAAAAAGCGGAGAACGACACCGGGATGTGGAAGGGGTAAGTCGCTCGCGGAAACGAATAACTTCGACTGAGGGTCGGTTTGAGTGAGGTCGTCGGCGGAAGCGCGCACCCAGGACGCGCCACCGTGAGCCATGTGGCGCGTAGCCAAAGCGCGGGCCCAATCACCGCACGATTTCGCGAGCTCCCGCACGCGCGGACCGATTATGATGAGCGATGCGAACACGTTCGCCGCACCCATTCTCATCCCGAGCGAGACGTCGCTGTTCAAAGAAACTCGCGAAGACGCCTCCAAGCGCGTGGCTTCGACGACGACGGGTTCACCGTTCACCGTCACGCGCGTGCGCACGTCCGCCCTCTCAAACGCCCATCGCTCGTTCCCGTACCCGATTCTACCCGCCGTTATCCAATCCACGCACACACACGATCCATTTTCGTGCATATCGATTGTCTGCGTCTGTCGAAACACCGCGTCGGCGAATACTTGCGTGGGATCCGGCAGCAACGCCAACAACCCCCCCTGTCCGACGCTCGCGTACAGCGCCGACGTGGTCTCTCCCACCTTCCACGCGTCATCGCCCTCGCGCGTTTTCACGTCGTCGTTCCATCGTCGTGTATCGTGTTTATACACCTTTTGCGTCCCTTGCGTCGCCATCGCCAACGCGCACTCGTCGTCCACGCGTATCGTCGCCCCGCTCGCGTCACCGCTCACCAACCCGGCGCCCATGTTCACCGCGTACGCCCACGCGCAATCGCACGCGCTGTCGATCCCACGCTTGGGCGTGAGTATCTTCACTGGGTACTCGGCGTAGCATCGCGTCACCGTGGACGTTCCTGGCAACGTTTCGTCCACGTTCAGCGTCGTGCGAGTGTTGGTCGGTTGCGTTTGGAAATGCCTTCGACGAAAGCGAGCGGTGCGTTCTGGCTGGTTACGAAAATGGGGACATCAAAATGTATGACTTAAGACACGGAACCATCAGATTCGAAACGAACGTCGCAAACGGCGTTTGCGATGTTGAATTTGACAGGAAGGATATTTCAATGAACAAGTTCATCGCTGCGTGCCTAGAGAGCCAGTTTGTGATGTTTGATGCACGGACGCAGCACAATACCGAAGGTTTTGCATCGACAACTCAAAAGACGAAGATTAGCACAACGCTTTGGGGTGTTCGCCATCTTCCACAGGATCGAGAATTATTCACTGCTTTGCTTGGGGACGGCTCAGTGGAGCTATACAGATACGAATATCCATCGAAGCGAGTATCAACGCACGCAGACGGTAGCCCCCGGGGATTAGGAGGGAAAGCAAAACATATGGGTTCTGCACAGCTCTCGACACAGCCGGTCAACAGTTGGGACTGGCACGCGGAGAGAAGAGGATTGGGGGTTTGCACCAGTTTTGACCAAGTTGTTCATGTGGTCATTGCAAGCACTTGTTGACTCGTTAAAGATGTTGTTACAAATAGACATTATCAATCTAATTCGTCGGAAGCGTCGGAATTCTGCATCGCAATCGCTTTCATCAACTGCGCGAGCAAATCTTGCATTTCAGTGTTCACCCGCTCACCATTTCGCACGTCTCTCGCTGCTCGTCTTCTGAAGTCATGCTGCTGATAAAGCGATGCGGCTTCGGTCGAAGGAGGACTAGTGTCAAGCACTGCCTTGAAATCGGCGTACGAAATTGCACGAGGGCGTCCCGACGCTCGTTGTCCAATCGATGCTTTCTCGCGTTCAATTTTAAGGAAGTCTCTCACTGGACCGTACGCAGCTTGCTTGCACAAGTCGCGCAAATCACTTCCACTAAATCCCTCAGTCTCGCTTGCGATCATCCACAGCGCGCAGCTGCGCTCCTGCGAAATGAAACCGTCGTCCAAATTCTCGCCCTTCAGCGTTACGGCCAATACCTGCGCGCGTTGTTCCACATTTGGTAGACCAACCTCAAACGCACGTGGGAGGCGTCGCAATATGGCTTCATCCACGTCCCACGGTCTGTTCGTTGCGCCGAGAACCATCACTTGAGCGCTATCATCGGTATTGAATCCATCCCAAAGGGTCATAAATTCCGTTTTCATCGTCGCGGTCGCCTCGTGCTCGCCCGACTTCCTAGTGCCTAAGAAGGAGTCAATTTCGTCAATGAAGATGATTGATGGCTGGAGCTTAAAAGCTAACGTGAAAACGGCGGAGACAAGCTTCTGCGCGTCACCAAACCACTTGCTCTGTAACGTGGACGAACGGACATTGATGAAACACGCGCCCGATTCCTTTGCCAGCGCCTTTGCCAGCAACGTTTTACCGGTTCCAGGTGGTCCATAAAGTAAGACCCCCTTTGCCGGCTGTAAGAGTTTCCCACGGGCAAATAGTTCGGGACGCACGAGTGGTAAAATAACCAATTCATAGAGCGACTGCTTCGTGTCCTCCAACCCACCGATGGAATTGAACGTGACGTCGATATGATCCGGGTTCGCTACATCCATGGCGATGACATCCTCGTACACGTTTGTATCCAGGTTGGGTCGTCCCAAGCGCGTTGCCAATTCCTTCTTCCTCTCAATCGCCGCTTTACTGTTCTGTCGATTCGGATCCATTCTCTTCAGTCCAAAGTTCAGGACGATCATCGATAAGATCGCGCTGCAACCGACGAGAAACAGCTCCTGGAAAATAGAGGGTTGCCCGCCCTGAGCGCGGCTCATCGTGCTCGAATGCGCGCGCGTGAGCGTCTATTCGGCGCTCGTTCCCGTCGTCGACGGCGATTCGTATCGGTTTGTCCACGTTCGTTCTCGCGTGACTGTTCGCTGGCGACTCCGTCGAGCACGAGAAGCGTGATCTGACGCGTCAAAGCGGCGACTATTGACTAAGCAAGACTTATTCACTACAACGTCAACTCTCCTCCTTCGGAGTTTGCTGCAAGCTCTTGGCGTTGAACGTCGCCTCACGCTTGGCTCGTTCGACCCAATTCATGCTAGCCACCGACCCCTCTCTCGATTCTAACAATGTCTTCAGCTCATCGTACAGCGGTCTCTTTGTGAACGTTCCGAGCGGTTCTGCGACAATTTTGTTGTCCGCACCCGGCGCCAGTGCGAACACTTGCCAATCGTTCGGATACACCTTCAGAGTTCTCACTATCTCGCCCTGTATGCGCTGCTCCTTCAGATAGTACACTGGCTCGAACTTGGCGACGAAATTCTCCGCTCTTTTACGCCACGGTCCGATGCCAAAGTCACCGATGATGGCGCCGCTCGTGTTCCACTGCGGGTTCGCGATTATCTTCAGGCGGTACTCGGCTTGTTTTTCTATCGCTCGTAGATCATCCAAGACCTCAGCCGTTGGAAAAGACACGATAACGTCGGATCCGAGAGTAATCGCAGCCACGGCGTCGGCGTCGTCGATGATGCGCTGCTGAGGCTTTCCGTCGGTTCCGGCGTTAATCCGCTTCAGCACTTCGCTCACCATCGGGCCCAACGCCGCGTACTGCTGACGAACTCCTCCCGGCCAATCGTCCAAATCCGTCGCTCCAATCAACGGGAGATTAAGTTCGATCGCTTGCGTCGAGATCCCGTTCGCTTGGGCCTCTAAGATGGCCCGCGCGCACTGCTCTATCTGTTCCTTGGTGCTCGAGGGGAGCGTGGGAAGAGCGAGACAGGCGACGCGTCGATGACCGACGTGATGGTCGCGTCGCGCGCCGCGCACGTTCACCGTCGCGCGCGAAGACGTTGCGGATAGAGAAGAAATCGCGAGAGCCATCGCTCGAGCGCGACAGACTCTGAGCACTCATCCGCTGCTCTCCACCGGCACAAGGCTTCGGGCTCGAGTCCGTCTTCACGGCAGAGCGCGAAGCCTCGATCGGTCGAGCGCATGGTGCGCGTGTGAGCGACGACAGAGATGTCAGTCCCCGATGGTGCTCGCGAATTTTACACCGGTAAGAACGTGTGCGCGCCCATGGTACGCGTGAGCACGCTGGCGACACGTCTGGTGGCCCACGAGTACGGCGCCGACTTGGTGTACTCGGAGGAGCTCGTTGACAAGCGCTTCGTGAAGTGCAGGCGAGAGGAGAACGCCGAGTTAGGGACGATCGATTTCCTCGATTCCAAGGGCGTGCTCACGTTCAGGACGATTCCTGAGGAGAAGGAGAGGCTGGTGTTTCAGGTTGGCACAAGCTCGGCGGCTCTGGCGCTGCAAAGCGCACAGCTCGTCGCCGGCGACGTGGCTGCGATCGACGTCAACATGGGATGTCCGAAGCACTTTAGCACATCTGGTGGAATGGGTGCGCGATTGCTGTCTCAACCCGATTTGATACGAGACATACTTACCACGCTGAGACGAAACTTGCCTGAGACGACGCATGTCACATGCAAAATCCGTCTTCTTGAATGTGAAAAATCGACCGCTGAGCTCGCCAAAATGATCGAATCGTGCGGAGTGTCTGCATTTGCAGTGCACGGAAGGTACATTTCACAGCGACCTAGAGAGCCAGCGCACTGGAATCTGATCAAGAATGTGGTTGAAGCTGTTGACTGCCCAGTCATCGCAAACGGCGACGTGATGCGCTATGAAGACTTCGAGAGGATCAGAAAGGAGACTGGTGCTGCTAGCGCTATGTGCGCTCGTATGGCACAGTGGAATCTATCGATCTTCAGGTCTGAAGGACTTCTCCCAATCGCTGACGTCAAGAAACATTTTGTTAGAAGAGCGATAGAGTATGACAATCCATGGACGTTCACGAAGTTCCAGTTGCGGGAAATATTGAATTATCACAAGCACCAGTTATCGCCCGAGGGGGAAGCGGTGCAAAAATCGAAGACATGGAACGATTTGGCGGAAGTTTATGAGTTGGAGGATGTTTTGAAGGAGAGCCGGGAGAGACGACGGCGTGCCCTTGTTCGTGGCGACTCACCAAGAGTTTCTCCGGAGTGAGTCAAGTCACTTCATAGAACGTAGCATTTTATTTGTTTTTGTATTTCCTAGAAATCCTATAGCTAGTGATGGTTTTAGTTTTTAGTTTTTTTCACCTGAACGCCTGTGCAACGCGATGTGCTCTCTCGAATATCGGATCTAAGAAGGCGTTACTGGAGCGATGAATTTCGCTGATGAAGTGCTGCATTGCGGCCTCATCGTCAAGCTCCAACGCGAACTTCGACTCGAATCGTAGCCTCGATCTCTCGTAATCCTGATTGATGTTGATGTCGGGGATATTTGCATCCGCCATAAGACTGAAGAGGTTCAGGAGCAACACCACTGACTCGCTCTTACGCAGGATGTTGTATGCCTCGCAGCAATACGTTTTGAACTCGCTGAAGTACTCACCCATCGCCTCGACCATCTCTTTACAGAGTTTCATTGAGGGCGGAGATATCTTTGGATCGCGTCCCATTATGAAACCGAAGTCGATGTGGAAAAGCCTTCCGTCCGAAGCCAGCATCAAGTTGTCCAAGTGACGATCCCCGACACCGAGCAAATATGTGATCACAGAGTACCCAGCACAGCTCTTCACAAAGTTCATCATCGATGTCATTGTGCATCCATTTGGGCCGTGAGGATCTGGATTGTGTAGTGCGATGTACGTAGTCAGCTTTTCGTGTTCTTTCAAGATATCCGCCACTCCCTGTGACTTCACGAACTCAATCAGGCCGGTGTCACTTCCCGTCGCGAGCACGCGATATGACGTCAATTTCAAATCGAGATTTTCTCGCTTTAAAAGCCTATCCATCAGAGAAATCATCTGCACACAGAGCTGATCTTGTCTCAGATCGTCACCCTTCTTAAAGATCATCGTCGCACGATCTCCAGTGCTGTATATAGAAATGCGTCAGTAAATAAATTAAATGACTTCGTGTCATGTAAATAATTACTCACAGTGTTTGAAACGTTAGCTTTAAAGGACTAAGCGCGGATTTGAACACACTGCTCTCACTAATGGTGCTCCACGTTAGTATAAAATCAAATGCTCGACTTACTTTGTTCTCACCTGGCAACAATCCCACTCATCAATACCTACAAGAGAATTAAATAATTAGAGTCATGAATATGCGACAATATCTCCAGAATCGAACGTACCGTCGGATTCAACGGGTTCGGGATGGCCTGTGGAAACGACGAAAGCATAGCGCCGAGCTCATTCTCGCTGGAGAGTATAGCCTGTGAATGAAACAGGGTGAGTCTCACTGAAAATTTAATTAATTAATAATTATTTCGCTCTCACCCTCAAGCGTTCGACTTTGCGTGCGCCACGCAGCATGTTGACTTCCTGAGTGATGATCTATCACGAAGTGTGAGAAGAAGTAGAAACAACTTGAGATGACGGGAAAACGCACGGTAATTCTTTCGGTGAGCTCTTGCTGAAATTTAAGAGTGTCCCAAAAGCCTCCACCCTTCTTGCTCTTCGATCTACACGCACGCTCAAACAACCTGAAGGTGCTCGCACTACGCTCTGCTGCTGATCCCTCCCATCCAACTTGCAAATACCTGCAACCAGACGTGTCAGTATCATCAGAAGCATTTTAATTTAATTAATTAATTTCAACTGAACACACGTCCTTCACGAGACGTACCAGTAAAGATAATTGCCAACCACTGCGTTCTCGACTCCTCGTTCTACCAAGAATTTCGCTAGTTCGTTGTCATCTTCAGTTTCGTAACGCAACGCCTGTTCGCGAAATCAGCAAACGTAGTGGAGAAAGTGGTCAGTCGGGGAAAAATAATTTGGAACGACAAAGTTCGTGGTGAGTCGTCCCAAAGCATTGCGAACGCTTCGCTCAATGACTCGTACCTGTACTAACTGCAGTAAATACATCAACAAATCTTCTTCATCAGTTTGTCTCAAGATGGCCACCGCATATCGACGGACATCGACGTTGGTGAAAGTTGGCGTGAGAAGCTCCAATGCGGCAGCTGGTCCGATCGGTTCCCACTCGCGCATCAGTTGTACTGAAGCCTTCGTCTCAGCAGGATCTGACCAGTCCACACACTTCAGGAACTTCGTCAACGCCCTCGGATCTTGTCTCATGGCGAATCGGAACTTCCAAAGCAAATTTTGTGATTCCATGTCCAGTGGTCTCGTTGGTGGCAACTGGATTATCGTCGCCAAGCGTCGCTTCTCCGAGCCATCAGGTTTCAACTGAATGTCGACCACTCCACGCCCAACACTTCTCGAAAGCTTTTGATGCTTGCGTTCGGCTGGATTTTCTAGCATAAAATTCACCTCGTCGTCCACGAGCCAAGTCAAATGTTGCCATTTGTGAATTTCAATCGCGTGCTCCTCCTCACTCCTCTGGCGATAGACCACTGGCTGGGCGTACACGGGAAACTCCAACACGAGTTGGATAAAATCACCTGTCGTTCGAGCCACGCCCAGTTGATTCTTGCGAGCATCTCTAATGCGTGAGAACACCAAATTATCTAACCAGTTTACCGAAGGCAAATTTCCCTGTTCATACTGCACCAAGAATCCTTCGAGCCGCTCCAGTTCGGCGTGCTGCTCCATGAACTTGGCGCCAAGATAATCGTGCTTCTTCTTCGTCTCTCCCGACGGCGTGAGCATTGCACATCTCGAACCTTGAAGTAATCTATTATCATCGCCAAAGATTGCCATTCGAGAACGGCATAGCACGTCGCTTGGAAACTTTCTTGCCGAACGTACTTCGAGCTCTAGCTGCGTCTCCCTCGGAAGGTCTCGTACTGTGATGGGGAAGCTTAACTTTTCCTTCCACTCCGCCACGCCATCGATGTGAGCAACCGCGGTGGTTGAAATCTCGTTCGTCAGCGGTTCTTCGTTGGCGATCAAGCGCGCGCTGACAAAGACTTCGTTCTCGACGGTCCCAGTCTGAGAGTGAGGCAACTGCCCATGCAGCGCTTGGACATGTAATTCGCAGTCCAACTCCACGTCTCTGCTGTCAAACACCTTCAAACGATCGACACCGACCATCATGTTCGCCTCAATCTCTTGCAGATCCGCTCACTCACGCTCGAGCGCGCGCTAATCAATCTCTCTCGATAACAGAAAGCCTCGCCTTTTGAAATATTTTCTCGAGTCTCACGCCCCTAACCAACGCGTCAGACGCCACCAACGTCGCTGATACCTCCACTATCGTTCCTGTCTTTCGACGAGCTCGTCGCGCCCTCGACTCGTCGCGCGCTGACCTGTCGAGACGACGCTCACCTCTGGAGACGCCGAGAAGTCTCTTTTCGTTGCGTTCAGGTTCACGATTCACAACTCGTGGGGAGTCTCTTTTCGCGCTCCTCTCTCTCGAGCTGGTCGGTCGACGGACACCCGTCCTCGCGAGCTTGGAGCCGCCTCACACGAGGGCAAACGAGAGGCTAGGACGATGTTGGCGTGCAACGCGTGCTGGTGTTCGCTCGACAGCGGATCAGCGTACATATCCCAGTGCGATCACGTGTACTGTGCGTCACGGCGACGCGACGGACGGTCGTTCGGAAGCTTGAACGTGTAACGAACCTTTTCAAACGAGACGAGATATTCAAAGTTTTCCGAGGACTCACCTCGCGATGACGCGCGCGTTAGACAGAGCCTGACCAGGACTTTTTATCAACGTAGGTGAAAAGGACATTCACATGGCCCTGGAGCAGCGCCAATGTCTCGTTTGTGCGACAAAGATGGAGGAGAGAGATATTCGCGTCTCGGAAGTGCAACCAGACCTCTCGGAGCTTCAACGCAAGCTTGCTGGCTACTCCCCGAACGACATGCTGACGGCTGTTGCTCACGGAATCAAATTTTGGGACGATCAACTCGAGCTTAGATACAGAACTGAAGTTGAGAAGTCTTTCACAAGTGCGCAGAGGAACGCTGAAATGTACAAGCGGAAACTACAGGTGCGCATAGTTTCGAATCGTTCACACGTTAAAGCTGACCACTCTTTGTGTCGATGACTAGGACGTGCATGGCGCGTACAAGAAGGCTAAAGCGAAACAAGATGAGCTCTGGAACCAGCTGAAAGAGCGCGAGAACGAAATTCAAGAGTTACAAAGCCGTTATGAAGAAAAAAGCCGACAGAAGCAGCATTTAGAAGGTGGTTCAACTGGACACAGACCTAGTCTTGGGGGAGTGAGAACTGTGAACTTCCAGGGTCACACGGCGCCTATGATGCCGCAGTCTGGGGGGCGAATCGACACTCGCCTTCGAGCGGAGCCAGAGAATTGGATGAAGCAGCAAAATCCCTTGCTAGGCAAATCCCGGCAAAGCTCAGACCTGCGTCACGAGGGTGTGCCGAATCGCGCTCCAAGCATCACTCGAAGCTTTGATAGTGGCTTGACGCCGCCCACGGCTTCACGAGAATCGCGCGAGCGAGCATTTCGCCCCCTTTCGCCTTACACTCGTCAAGCGTCCGATTTACCTCAGCATCCCGGACGCGACCCTGGTTTGTTTTCAAAGCGGCGTGTTTTCTGAGTGGATGAACGAATTGAATGAATATGGATATGGCTTATTCTCTTACTAGATGGCTAAGACATCAGCACTAAGGCGCACACGCGTCAAGCATGTATTATGGCGTTCATACGTCGTGGATGTAATGATATGCAACTGCCTAGCGACCGATGATGCCCTGCGCCGCCACGTTCATCGCAGAAAGCAAAGCACCACCAGCCCCATACACAGCTATCGCACGTGGTCCGCTCATGCTCTTGTACAATGCACCCGCGCCTCCTCCTGCGAATACAGAGCACAGCGAATCATATCTGTTTTCCGTGTACGCCATCGATGCACTTTCTAGTGCAGCGTAATACAAGCCTATGCAGCCCAGCGTATTCCCCATGGATCGCCCCCTCTGGCTCACAGCGTTGAGCATTCTATTCAACCGAAGCTTTGAAGTATCTAAAGTTGGATCTGGTGTAGCTTTCATGCTGCCGTACAGCCCCCACCCACCTCCGGCGATGCTCCCGCTCAGGTATCCAACCCCGGTCAAGTACGTCAGGTTTTCACTCCAGCTGCGCGTCTTCATCGTTCTTTCCTCATCGAACAGATACTCCGGGGTATCAGCGAGCGAATAAATTGATTTACTCATCGACGGATCGAACGGTCCCCCCAAACCACTGTACGGGTTGTACGACCCGCTCGGGGAGGCGGGTAGCGAGAAGTTCTCCGCCGGCGCCCCAAAGTTGGGTTGTTCTATGTTCTCATTCAGCGCTCCGTTCGACGCACTACCCCCCGCGGTATCGTCTAGAGTCATCGTTCCGCTCGACGACGCCTCATTCTTGCCCTTATCGCCTCTTCGCACTCCTAAAAGGTCTCTCAACCCCATGATTCCTCTCCAGCGCGAACGCGATCGCGCGAGGCGTCTCCCCTCGCCCGTCGCCCGTCGCCCGTCGCCCGTCGCCTCGCTCGAGCGCCTTCGCGCGCGTGAGTTTCTTTCGCCTCGCCTTCGCCCGTTCGCCCCCCGTTCGCTCGCCCGTTCGCGATGTGCGGGTCCGCGATGTGCCGCGCGTGCGCCCACACGGTGGCTCGACCCGAGCGACGGCGGAGGGCGATCGATCGCGTTTCGGTCGACCGCGTCCGAGGGGTGAGACAACGCGTCGAGGGCGCGTCAGAGCGACGACGCGCGCTCGACGACGCGGGAGCACGCGCGAGGAGACGAGGAGACGATCGCACCGCGCGCGCGCGACGGCGCTCGAGCGCGCGCGCGCGAGGGATGGCGACGACGAGCGCGCGGGCGACGCTCGGGACGCGCGCGATGCGAACGGTCGCGAGGACGACGCGAGGACCGAGGACCGGCGCGCGGGCGATGGATCGATGGCGACGCGCTGAAACGACGCATGGAATGCGTGTACGACGAGATGAGGGCGCGAAGGAGCGAACTGGGACGCGCTTGGTTCGAGCGGACGCCGCGAGGGGTCGAGGCGAACTCGCGCGTAGAAACGCCGGCGCTTGGAAGCTCAGTGATAGGGATTACCCTGAGGGCGAAGTCGTGCTAGGCATAGAGATTCGCTCGCACTCCATCAAGGCTGCACCAGTGGATACGGCTAACGCCGAATTTCAGCGTCCGGGAGTCACGGTACCGATCGAAGAGCTCAGTAGGGAGTCGATGGAGACTGCGCTGAATAAGATAGCCAACCACTTCACATGGAAGGGTCCAGTGGGGATCAGCTACACGCGTTTGGCTCTTCGCGCGCTCGGAGCGGGGGCAAATGGGGAAGATGTATTAGCATCGATGGTTCCGGCTTGGAAAGGACGCATCGCGACGATGATTCATACCGAGGCAGCAGCATACGCGGAGATGTATTTTGGGCCTGGACGTGAAAACTCTGGGCTTGTGATGGTCTGCACCCTTGGTAAGGGCTTTGGTGCGGTGTTGTACAATAGAGGACAGAAAGTACGAAATGCAGACTTTAAGCACTTGACCTGGACTTACGAGAGAGAACTGAAGAAGCTTCAAAAATCGTGGGGCTGGAGCGGAGTGGTGCCACCTCTGGACTCGACTGACACGCTGGTTGACATTGTCGAAGAATACGGACTGAGTGGTCGAGGGTGGTGGCTCGAGGACATTCAACCCTCCGAGAACGCGTGTGCGCAGACGGACGCGGTTCTAGCTTGGGCTTCTCTCGTTGACCGATACTTGCAGAAAGTTTCATCCAACGTCTCGCCGGAACGTCTCATTTTGCTTCCCACGGGTGCCGCCTCACATTGGAGTGAAGACGTCTTGATCAAACTTTTCCGTCCTGGAATCCAGCTGGCTGGTCTCGATCCTAGTATTTTAGTCATGGGAGAATTTCCTGACAGAGCTTTGGTGAAGGGGGCTGCGATTGGGGCTCACATTGAACTCCAGAGCAAAGCAGCGAGCAGCGTGTTGCGAGACGCGATTTGTACGACAGTCACTGAAGGCTCTGAGTTGCGCCCGCTTACCGAGGCTCAGATGGACTGGGTCTTTAGAAAGCTTGATACGGATAAAGACGGCGAAATTTGCGAAAAGGACCTTCTGACAGGAGCCAGATTCTTTGGGGCAAACTTATCCATCGCTGAGGTAAATGGAGTCATGAAAGAGTTGCACTGCGGCGTGTCTGGGGAAATCACTCGAGACTTCTTGCAAAAGTGGTGGGATTCGGAGCTTTCGCATAGCGTCGTCACGCAGATTTCTTCGATAATGGATCTTGAAGACATCCTGCAGTCTGCAAAGGTCGCCAAGCCGGAAGTCATCAATGTGAATGGTGTCCTTCAGGCAGCAAAGAATGATAAAATTGTTGTCCTGCAGTGCGGGTTTTCCCACTGTCGCCCATGCAAAAAATTTGAGGGCTCGTATGAGTCCATCGCCCGGGACTTCCCGGATATCCGCTTCCTAAAAGTGTTCGGTGATACCACACCTGCAGCCGCTCACCTGTGCAGGGATGTTCTTTCTGTTCAAAGCACACCCGATTTCCGAATCTACAAAGGTGACAAATTGCTCACGCAGTTCACCGGCGCTAATAAAATTAGACTCGAGGACGCTCTCAAGGCTGCTATCGAGTAGGCTAAGCTATTTAAAAAAATAAGCTAGTAATTCGCGACACATTCAAATCTACGCACTATGCACCACGTTGGCGCACGCTATCCATTCTGCCAATCCGTCAAGGATTGCGTGCAACTGTCGATCGATCTGGACTCTATCGTCGATGTCTCCGATATTTTGATATTTTTCTCGAGAAGGATGCCAAACAATCACATCAGACTTCCGCGTAGATCCCAGAAAGATCTCATGAAAGCTGCAGTTGTTCGCGGTCTCTTTGCTCATCTCTACAAACGCGAGTAATTTTTCACTCTTGTAAGTCTTCGCCACCTCCCTGAACCGATCGTTCGGCTCCGAAGTCAGAAGAACAACCGTATAAACGCTTTTGTTTTTTAGAGAAGCGCCATGAACATCAACCAAGTCGGACTTGACGTCTTCGCGGATAGCTCTCTTCGTTGACTTGTATCGCATCTTATGTACTCGAACAATTACTCGACGAAACCACGTCGCGGCGATTATGGCACAAATAGTCCCAATCAGAGGCAACAAGTCAGTTTGCGTTAAAAAGAACCACAGATTCTCCATGAAGTCGGTAGTGTCAACGTAGAGAGCCTTAAACAATACCTTAAATGTTGCGGAAGACTCAGTGTTCACTCTGGGTGCGTTCCTTACGAAAACGGCACGGATCTTCTCCTTTGAGCTCACATCTTCAACGACAATATTAGTGGACATCTCAAGTACCAACATCGCGGGCAATTTGTTCACACCGAACTTCGTTGCCCAGAATTCCTTGTCGCTTTGATTATAGTGCGAATGCTTTACATCAACACGAGCCCCATACTCTTCCGCAAAGTATCTAGTCCGTATCACTGCCGTTGACATGCTCGGCGAAACCAAGACAAACTGTTTACCACCGATTGCTGGTATGCGCACATCTTCTTTCTCAATCGTCGGAAGCATAGATAGCATGAGCAATTTCTCAGAGACAAACGAAGACAGTAAATCCACCCTGATAGGACCACGGTATCGCTTAACGCATGAATAGTGGCTGCAGCTTGGACGCAACCCTACGATGACTGGTAAATCCGACCGACGAATGGGACGTGCGAACAAGCCACTACTACCTAACATCTGTACGAGACGTGGACTCATGAAAACGTGTATACGGCCAAAGTTTGTGATGCCGTCCAGTGTCTGCGAAGCTTTCTCCCACGCCGGCCAGGTCCTATGACACGCGTCCATCGTGTCGTCATATATTTTTATCAACCACGCCTTCTTGCTATTAAAGACGAGTTTTTCGATGTTCTTATTGCTCAGCGAAATGGTCTCAGAGGAGATGAGCTCGGCTTGTTGAAAGCCGCTCCTCTGTCGCAAGCCTTCTGCGACCGATTCCGAATCCCAAGTGCCTCGTGTTCGATGTCCAGCGTTTAGCTCTGCGTTCAAATTGCTTTGTTCTTCTACGTACATTTGTAAATCATACGCACGCTTGCGTTCAGGATCGGATAAAGTTGAGTACGCATTCTGTATCTCCATGAACCGTTCGTTCGCTATATGTTTCTCTTCGTCGTCGGACGTCCTTTGCTTGTCCGGGTGGTAGATAAGCGATAGAGAGCGGTACGCTCGCTTGACCTCGATCGCGCTCACCCCTCTATCCAGTCCCAAGTCGCCGTAAAGATCACGCGCGCCGAGAACGACGCGGGCGAGAAACGCCTCAACGACGATGAGGTTGAGTAACCACCCGCGCATCTTGGGCGTTTTCTCGCGCCGCATCGCGATCCACGTCGGCCGATTGTCACCGTATCACAATAAAACCGAATCTTCGATACATTTAGCTAGGAACGACTGATTCCACCGAGTTCACGCCACCCTCTGAGGAATAGCTGCAATTCAATTCAGCCCGCAAAATTTGCTCGAGAGAGGCGGGCTAGGGCTCAGCGCTAGGGTATTTGAGCAATACTACAAAGCTATCATGCCGCTAATCTTCCTCATCTAACGCGCCCGAATATTCCGCGATGGCATCCATGGGCAGAACGTGCGCCTCAAAGTCCTCGTTTAACTGTATCGACGCAGTGTCGTTGGACTTATTCTTTTCAAGGAGCTTTCCGCGCCTACCTCGAAACTTGCCCAAGACAACACATATGCGGCCTCCCAGCTTGGGTAAAACTGTCTCCAACGCCCGCTGGTCGATTTCGATCGTCTTACCCCCTCCGTCTATTTGTAAAAGACACTTTGTGGGAGTCAGAACATCCACGATGACTCCCTTCATGAGATAGAACTGCCCGCGACTGAAGCTTTTGCTAACAACGCGCACGCGAACGTTTGTGTACAACCACGGTTCTGCCGCCGTCCCCGCGCTCTTACTATCGTCATTCCTGAAACGCTTCTCTCCTACGCTCGCCTTAGTTTCTCTCTCGCTCATTTCTTGAAGCTCACTGCACCGAACCGTGACCACTGTACCGCTATTACTGAGCTCTATGCTGGCCTTTTCGCCCAGCATCCGCAGAATGCGTCCTGATATTCCAGCGTGCTGCCCATCGGCGATGTACATCATCTTTCCTTCTCTGGGTCCAACTTCTTTTCGTTTAACAAGCTTTTCATCCAATGTCTTCACGTTTCTCATGCCCGCGTCGGCCACTGCCCGCTGGTCGCGTACCATGTCTGCTTTCTTCTCTCGCGTTTCGCCCGGTTTTATGTACTTCTTCTGAGGTGCGTCCTTCTCCGCGGGCTGAGCTCCTAAACCGAGCCGAGCCGCTCGAGGAATAAATTCGACAGCCTCAACCATACCTCTGTGCATTCGACCCACCGCTTTGCCCTCCTCCCAGCCCATTCCGCGCAGCATCGCTTTGCCAAAGTCTTCAATCGGCATGTCCTCATATTCCTCAATCGATGCCTGCTCCGGTAAATCCTCCATATCCTCCTTGAACGCTTGAAGTTCTTTCTCATGCAAACTTTTACCGATGAAGCTCTCACCCGCCTTGTCCCGATCGCTCTTCTCCGCCGCTACTGCGCCGTGCTTTGGTCCCATCTTCGTCAGACCGTACGCCACTCCTTGCTGAGCCAATTCTCCTCCAGCCGCGATCGTCTCCGCGACGTGGAACCTCTTGTTATCCCGCTCGATCTCATCTTTCGTCGGTATGAAACTCGGGATCTGCGCGCGAAAATCATCGTCGTCAGTACTCGCGTTGTCTCTCTCTCGCGACTTGCGTCCGCGCACCTTTCTTCTTCGTCCCGTCCCCACCTCGAACGTGTTCTCGATCCTCGCGATGACCTTATCTCGCACCGGCTCGTCGTCACCGCTCGTTCCTTCGATCTCGTTTCCCGCCACGCCGGTGACGTACTCCACCGCCTTCGCCTTCTCCTCGTGTTGCACCCCCACGCTTCGCGCCGGTGCCTTTTTCTTCGCCAATGAAAACTCCATCGTTCGCTTCGACGACGACGACGACGGTGGAGGCGCTTCGGCGGCGACGACGACGACGGATCGACCGACGGACCGCTCGTTCGCTCCTCCTCGATCGCGATCGATCGACGCGTCGAGAACTCCGCGTCGCCGCGTCGCGCTCGGGCGCTGGGCGCGAGCGACCTCTCGTTTTTCTCGCGATCGGCACAGGGTGGCGTCGCGCCTCGCCCGAGCGTGGATCGAGCGAAGACGCGCGCATCGCGCTCGAAGCGTCGAGGCGTCGATACGAACGATCTCGACGTCGCGCCGCATCGTCGCGAGATGGGAGCGAACGGCGAGAGCGGCGGGACGACGGTGCTCGATGACGATTTCGCCGAATTTAGCGCTCGAGTGCGTGGGGCGTGGAAGCGCTCGGCGACGTTCACGCTGAGCGCGGTGGTGACGTCGCTGGTGATGCTCATGGTGAGTACAATGGCGGTCGGGGTGACGCGATACGTGGTCGTTCCGAGAGGGCCGGCGTCGCTGACGACGGATCTAGCGTTCGATTACACGACGACGGCGCCGACGGCAAGAGCGAGCTTTGCGGCGGTAAAATTCGCGAACGTGGAGCCGGGCGAGGGGGCGAGAATTTTGAGTCCGAAACAAACCTTTGACGTCGAGGTAGAGCTCGTGGTGCCGGAGAGCGAACATAACGCGAACGTTGGTATGTTCCAGGTGAACGCAAAGCTGTTGACGTCCACCGGACAAAAGTTGCTGGAACGGTCTCGACCAGGAATGGTGACGTACACATCTAGGGAGGTCAGATGGCTCAAGATGCTCACAAGAGCACCGTTGCACGCGATGGGGATGATCGACGAGAGACAAAGCGTGCGCGTCGCCGTGATTGAAAATTACAAAGAGGACGCGGCGTCTCCGTTTACGAGTATCGAAGTGACGATGAAACCGCACGCTGGAAGTGAGAAACTGCCACAAATTTACGAAGCGCGAGCGACGATTCACTTAAGTATGAGTCGTTTCGCTAGCGCGCTATATTTTTACCCGATCGCCTCCTCGCTGATCCTCATCGGCGCGCTCTGGAGTAGTTCGAGTGCCGTCGCCTTGGTGTGCCTTCTTTTCTACGTGCTCATCAAGGGGAGTAACATGGACGAGACCAAGACCCAGCCACCAGTGACATTGAATCAAAAGTCAAAGCATGCTGGAGCGATCGCCGATGCCATCGATTCAATGGACTCAACCCTGAGTGCTCACGCGCCAGAGCAAGTTAACGCGACTTCGATCCTCGATCATGGATTGCGGCATCGCGGCAATCCGAATGGATCGACGAGCTAGGTGCTTCACTCATTATTCATGTCATTGCAACGTGTATTCTATTTTAGCCTATCTTGTCAATGTCGTCAAAATGATTTCTTCCCGTCACTTTTTCTCCTCGAGTTTGGCCTCTACGAACTCATCTATCAGATAAGGCCAGGCGTCGTTGGGATCATAGGACTGTAAATTTTCGCCCACTTGCGTGCTAAATTGGAGAACTTGCGACCAGGTATCGTTTGAAATCGCCTTTCCATGGCTTCTCTCGAGAAAATCACACCATTCATCGGTAAAGCACCATTTGTCGGTCATCAAAACTTTCCACAACCCGACTGCCGTCTCTAGAGCCAAAGCCTTCGCATTTGGTTCCTTTGCAAACCCGAACGTAAACTCGTACACATCCTTAAAGCTACTTGGTCTGGTCAACTCCTTCCTCAGTGCACCTATTTTCTCCTTTAATTTATCCATGGAGTCGCATTCCATCATCATCATCCCTCGATTGAACTCTTCCTTGGTATATTTTCCCATAGTCTCCGCATCCATCTTCATCGATAAAACGAGCGTCACTGGATCCATCGGATCCACACCTAAATTTTCCAGGAATCTAATGATACCCTCTGCCTCGATTCGTTCTTCTTCCTGACTGTCTTGCACCTTGTACGAGTCGAACATGGCAGTGATACCAGTTGCGTTTGTTGTGGACTTCTTGGAGCTCCTCGAGCGCGCTGAGTAGAAGTAATACTCGAACGCGGCATCCATGTTCCACGATGCGTCCTTCAGCGCCTGTATTGCACCCACCTCATCGTTCGTGTCGGCGACGTCCATGAAACGCCGCACGGTGAGCTTCTGATTCTTGTTGAGCTTGTTCTGATTGGTTTTTCGAAAGTGTGGAAGCGTCAGTCGGAGATCTCGAGCGAGCGAGGCGCGACGCGAGCGCCCCCCGCGATGACGACGAGAACGCTGTGCGTACCATTTCCAGCGCGAGGTCGAGACAACCTAGCGCGTCGACTGCTCGGCGCGCGCGGTCGGATGACGACCTCGCCAAGGGAAGAAGGAGCTTTGCGCTTTAGAGCCCCTTGTCTTGTTGCGAATGGCTTTTGAAGCGCATGGGTCAACTAATGTGCGGCGATAAGCATACCAAGGAATCTCACATCTTTTCTACAAGGTCAATCACTAGGCCGTTAATCAGCGCTCGTTCGGGTGGTAGATCAGTTAGACGTGCGTCTGACCGCGCGTCGGAACACTTGTGATTATCTCCAATTTGCGCTGCAAGTACGCAGCAGCAATCAGGAAAAACGAGCACATGGCGAACATAGACGTCAGCGGGAATAAGGCGACGTTGTACAAGATGACACAGACGAAAAGGTTAAGAGGAATTCTGAAGCAGTTCATAACTGTGCTCCTGATCTCTTCTGGAACATATGTCGCTCGCATCTTCATCATGCTCGGCCAGAAAATACCAACCAAGCACTCGAAGACGAGGAAACCCATCATGATTAGCTTACCTTCAAACGTGATAGATTGCCCGGAAGAGTAGTTTTGTTCGAAAGGAAACATCTTGAGAACGACTGGCAACGCCAAGGATGCCGCCGAGGCCAAGAAGACGTACTGCATGTACTTCTCCGGACGCATGTCCTTGTCCCCGAGAAGTTGTCCCGCAAAGGACGAGCCGATCATGCACGCGACCATCATGGTTGCGAAAATCATTCCGTGCGGGATGATCTCGTCGTTTGGACTCAAAGCGGGAGTCCAGAGGAATACAAAAGAATACATCGCTGCCTCGAAGAGCGACTGCATGGCTCCAAGGTACAGCACTTTCTTATCGTTGAAGATGGCTTTCCACGCCGCGTGGAAGCTTGCTTGAAGCGATGCGTTATCTTTCACGTCTCCTTTGTTTTCCGTCCACGTCAGAGCGATGATAACGCCGCCGACTGCCAGGAAAGTAGCTGCGGCATCAAACGGAGCCACCGGCCCGAGTTCCATGTCTGTCACCAAATAGTTCGCCAACAGCCCGGCGATGATGGAGACCAGACCGTTGCCGATGAAAATCGCCTTGGAAAATGTTCCGCTCAACCATTCTGGGTCGTAACTTCTAGAGAAGTGCTCGGAAACGAGCCAAGACTCAAACGCGGTGAACAATAGAGACGTCGCGATGCCTCCAAAGAATCGACCGAGCATGAGAACACCGTAATCGCTCCAGTGCTTCGTGATGCACGACGCGATATAAGTCACGACGTAGGTTAAACCCGCGAGCTTTCGCCCGTACCTGTCCGCTAAACTCCCGACGATGGTGCCAAAGATCATGCTCGAGCCGAAACCGGCTATGAACAGCTTCCCGATGTCTCCCGTGCCGTATCCGTAGTGCTTATACAACGCGTACACGTACGGTCCCTGTAACCAATCCCCCGCCATCATCAGTGCGTAGACGACGAGGTAGTTATTCCTGAACGCCAAGAAATTCGCCGGAAGATTTCCCGCCGCGCCCTTTCCGCTCGGGCGCTTGCTCAGCTCGATCCCCGCGCAGCCGATCGCGAGCGCGATGAACGTGAGGACGTAGAACCCCTCCATCGCGAATCCAACGCGTTTGTCGTCCCACGCGCGCGCGCTCGACGTTCGCGACCTCGACTGCGGTGCGCGCGGACGCGACGTCGCCGGAGACGACCGAAGGCGTTCGCTTCGATGTCGCCCTCGCATTTAGGCGCGCATTCATGACCTTTCACGAATCTTTTTAATCGATCAAAGGGATTCTTTCTCTTTTCGCGTGACCCCACGCGAGATCTCCGTTTCGATCTCGAGCTTCGCGCTCGAGGGGGCGCGCGCTTTCGTGTGTCCACGTCGTCCGCGACCGCATCACAACGCGACCGCTCGCACGCACGCACGCGATGCAATCCTTGTGCTTTAACCCACTCACCGTGAGGTAATGATCGCGCGATCGTCGAGCGAGAGAGGACGCGAACGCGAGGAATTTCGGATGCGGTTGCGGGCGGTTTTATCCATCTGCCGACGACCTCCTCAGCGCGTGGGCGCTCGTAGGAGCGTTCACGCGCGTCAAAGAGGGCGAGAGACTGACGAGAGATTTTCGTTCGACGCAGATCTACCGCCGCGCGCGCGCAAACCCCGCGCACGCGATCGACGAGGTGCGTACAGTCGCCCGCGATAAGGTCAGAAGTATCTCGCGAGGTCTTCCGACGAGGACGACGCGGAGCGAGCTCGTAGGCGCAGCGAACGCGCGAGGAGAGCTCGGATGGCGAACGAGAGATTTCTTTAGAGATACCTATCGACGCGTCGACGCGTCGCCGTCCTCGCCGAGCGCGCGCGGGGTGGCTATTTCGAGCGACCCGATCGGGTGATGCCAAGGCTGGCTGGTCAGCTGACGCTCGTCCAGTTGTTTGTCGGGTGTGATCGTGCACGTATTGCGTGCGCCGATGTGATGTATCGCTCAATGACTGACGTAAGTGATTCTCGCTCTTCCGTATGCGCAGAAGCATCGTCTGCACGGCCACCACCGAAGGCCGAAAGGCGGCTCCGCTCAAGACGGGCGGCACTCTCGAAGGCGAGAAGGCTTTCGGCAAGGCTGCCGGCGCCGCGGCCTTGACTGGCCAAATCTTCCAAGGCGAGACGACGAAGTGGAGCGATCCGCGCTGGGTTAATGGTAACTGGGATCTCGAACAGTTCAAGAACTCGGCGGGCGAGGTTGACTGGGATGCCGTGATCGATGCCGAAATTGTCCACCGTAAGATGTTGGAAGACTGCCCGGCTGTGTACGATGAAGACGGTCTCTTCGACACATCTATCGTCCCGTGGCACGTGTGGATGCGCCGATTCCATCTCCCGGAGGCGGAGAAGGCGAACGGCCGCGCTGCGATGATCGGCTATGCCTTCGCGTACCTCATCGACGCTGCTGGCGGCGCTGGCCTCGTTGACTTGCACAACTCTTTCTTGGGCAAGACCGCCATTCTCGTCACCATTCTCGGTGTCACCATGATTCGATCCCTCAAGGATCTCGATATGCTCAAGGATCTCGCGGAAGAAGCCACCTTCTACGACAAGCAATGGAACGCGTCCTGGGAAGGTGTTGAACGCCCGTCGGAGACGCAAAAGTGAGCGTCACAGTTTTCGTTTAAACATTAGGTACCTGTAGCTTGCTTGCCGTAATCTTCGTCGAGTCGATATTGCTCGACGGATTTTACGCTTCCTTATAAAAGATGATTATTCATTGGTTGAATCATTCGACGCCCTACGTGCTCCCACGAACATACTTCTGAGTGACGCGAAGAGCAACGGTCCCACTGCTCTCAGAGCGTGTCGCTAGCTCGCGGTGTGATCCAGCCCGCGCGCGTCGACCGCAAGCGATGCTTCAAATGCGATTCACCCCCAAGTGATGCGCACGGAGGTCGTATACTCACGCCAACGCGCGACGAGCGCTGGTGGAGCATCGAAGTTGCGTTCAACCAACAGACAAATAGATTCTCGGTCGTCGACGATCGCGCGAGCGATGCGGTTCGATGCGAAAAGCGTGACGATCGATGTGACGTCATTTACTCCGCGCGATGCGCTGCAGACGCTGGAGAAATATATGCACGAGGGGGCGAAGTATCATCAACTGAGAGGCATCGTGGCGAACTGGTTCGCGGAGGTTGTCCCTGAGCCGGCGACATTCGTCGTTGAGTTCGTCGAAATCGTGTTCGTCCGGCTGAGCGAGCACGGTTACAGAGAGACAGAGGATGACGACGGAGACGCCATGGTGTGCATGTACTTGATGTTAGAGAGCTTGGGCCGTGTGCCAGGAGCGAGGGAAGGCCGCACTCGCCGACGTTTCGCAACCAACGTCACGCGCGGGGTCGTGAAGTCGGATCGCGCTCGCGCTCGCGCTGGAAAGTTGGTTAAATTGGCGATTACAGATATCACAGAACTTAGTATTGCGCCAGTGCGCCCAGTGGTGCGACTCATCGAGACGTTTGGCCTCGAGTTGGAAGACTTGAGTTTTGCGAGTCGTGACGAGGCAAGTGATGCAGTGACACGTTACATCAACGAGCAGATCGATCGGGGCAAGCAGCGCTCGGCCATGGCGCTCGTGTTTCACTTCAATTTGGACCAATTTGCGACGTTTGAAACGCTTCTTGGCTTGGTACAGGCGAAGGAATATACGATCGCGCTTGAGTTCGCTTCCATGGAACCTCGCCTAACAAAACAGTGGATTGAGCTGTGTATCAATGATGGTGTAGAGAACCACAATCACGCGTCGCTACGCAACGCATATAAAGCCGTCACTACGTTTAAGTTAGAACATGAGTTTCCCGACGTGCGAACGGTATATTACAAATCAACTATTTCAAGAATGATTGGAAAAGGGAGTTTTGAAGCGGCGTTAAGACGCGCTGGTTCGGATGAAGAACTGCAACGGTGGGTCGTGGAGTCTCTCGCTGCGACGGATCAGTTTGAGTACGCCGTCGAATACGCAAATCGCTGCGGACTATATTTCAACTGTGATGCAAACGAGTTGGCCGAGATACAAGCGCGTCGTCGAGCAACTTTTTTTCAGTTGCCACGGCATCTTGATGGTGCGTGCGTCTTTGTAGACGACGAGAAAAGCTTACTTGAGGCGTCACACCGGTACCTTTGGAATCAAGGTATGATCGGAATTGACACAGAGTGGGGAGCAGACGTGGGAGAGGATGCGGATAACGCCGATCGTAGCGGGGATGAGGTCGCAATACTGCAGATAGCGTCCCAGCTCGGGGTGGTGATTTTGGACGTCCCCAAGCTTCTGTACTCTTGTCCGGACACCTTGGAGACTACCATCGGGAAGATGTTCGAAGACGAGGAGGTTTTAAAGTTAGGGTTTGCAGTTCAAGAGGACCTTCGACGGTTGTCTAAGTGTCACAAGGCGTTTAAGACCGTGCAAGGGGTCGTTGATTTACAGAAGCTATGGAAATTGCTCGTCTCGAAAGCGCGCACACGCAGCGTCTCTGCTCCTTGGTCGACCGAGGCCGAACTTTTGCGGTATCAACCCGTGGGTCTTAGTGCTTTAGTGGCTGCCGTGCTTGGAAAACCACTGGACAAGATGATGAGGATGTCCGACTGGAGCCGTCGCCCGCTGACGCAGTCGCAAATGGAGTACGCCGCTCTCGACGCATGGACTCTCGTCGAGGTCCATCGCACGTTGCTCGAGGCTCACGGCGCACACTACTCTCCACTCCTCGAGCGAGTGCGTAAATCGTACGACTATACGCGTTAGTACTTTGCATAATCGTAGCAAGATGTTATTCCGCGCTCGACCATACAATTCTGCGCCGCGACGTCGATCCCGCTCCCACTCAGCGCCCGCACGGCGTCATCGATGCACACAAACGGCGGCGCTCGTGCTCGCGCTCGAGTCGCCATGTCCATCGACGACGCCATGGATGCCCTGAGGCTCATCGACGACGACGTCTCGATCGACGACGAGCTCGTGCGCTCCACCTCGAGCGCGGTGCGCGCGTACTGGTTTCCCAATCGCTCGCAAACGCTCGAGGCGGCGTACAAGAAGAAGTGGTTCGCTACGAACGACGACGTGCGCTCAGTGGACGAGGAAATCGAACGAACGTTCGGGGGCGTCCTGCGGGCGATTGAAAGCGCGACGTCCGGAGAAGAGGTCGATCGAGAGAGCGTTCTACGAGCGCACGAGCGGTGGACGCGCGAACCGTCGACGACGGCTGCGCTGGTAGTGATGCTAGACCAGTTCAGTCGACACATGTACAGGAAGGCCGAGGACCGAGACGCGAGGGTGGGAGCAAACGACCGCGTTGCGATAATCATCGCGGAGGATTTATTAGATAATAAACGCGAGTGGTTGTCCGAGCTCACAGTGCCAGAGCAGGTGTTTGTGCTCATGCCATTTCGGCACACGCAAAAGACGTGTCCGCGCTTGTTGAGATGCTTAGAACTGATTGACGAGCGCGTGGGGCTGGAGGATGAGAACAGAGAGCTATTGCAAAAATTCCGAAAGACCACGCTCCGGTGTTATCAGGATTTGGAAGGGAAGCAACACGAAGCTGGCGATAATATTTTAGAACGCCAAGAGTTCACGCCGTCTGAGGAAGTTATGGCGACAATGTCGTCGAACTCACTGTACAATACAATAGAAGAATTCATGCGAGAGAGCATGCATGAATTCGGGAACACAATCGCCGTGTCACTCAGTGGAGGCGTTGATTCCATGGTACTGGCTTACATTCTCAAGCACCAAGGATATGACGTCGTGACGCTGCACATTGACTACAAGAACAGACCAGAAAGCACAGAAGAGGCAGACTTCGTGGATGATTGGAGCGTACGACATGGGATGAAATTCGAACGATGTACAGTAGATGCGATACGACGCGGTGTCACTCCGAGAGAGCAGTACGAGATTGAGTCAAGGAAAATCCGGTACGGCTTTTACAAGAAGAGCGGCCAGAAGCATGGTTTTCCAGCGGTCCTGCTCGGGCACCATCACGGTGACGTACAGGAGAACATAATCACTAATTTGATGCGTGGAGCCAATCTTCTGTCTGTTAATGGCATGGACAAACGCGGTGTAGTCGAAGGCGTGCGTATTTGGCGTCCCATGCTCCCGCATAATAAGGTGGACGTCCTCGACTTTGCGCATACATATGGAGTACCATATTTCCTCGACTCAACTCCAACGTGGAGCACACGAGGAAAGCTCAGAAACCAGCTCGTGCCCTTGCTAGAAGATATGTTTGGCGATGGTTTCATGAGGAACGTGAGCATGATTGGTGAAAATAGTGATCAACTCTCGGAAATGGTCGATAACGCCCTGTTCAAGCCGTTTTGGAACGACAGGAAGATGAGCGACGTCGGATGTTACGTGGACTGCACTCCGTACATCTCGCAACCTATTTTCTTCTGGAAACAGGTGATTCGAGAGATGTGCCACGGACTTGGGGCGAGCATGCTGAAGGAACGCTCTGTGCGCTTACTGCTGGGGCGCGTAAAGAGGACGAGATCTAAGAAGGATGGTTGGTTGTGTTTGAAAAAAGAAAATGCCACATTCATGACTGGCAACACCTTCGCTATTTTTACTACAGAATTCATGCCTAGATCGGAAATCATCAAGCAGGGGATGATCATCACGATGGATTCCAACAAGAAATCGTTCGATCTCGGTAACTGGCGCATCACCCTGGAGGTGGTGCCAAACACAAGCACGCACGAAGGCGAGCGCCTGTTGGATGAGCAGGCAATAACAGTGTGGCAGGTGCTAGGAAACGACATCTCCTACCACGTCCCATACGACAGTTCGTACGTCATAGATCCAGAGATCAGATTCCCTCCGACGAAGGGGTTGGACGTCGTCGTGCGGAACGCTATTCCTTTCATCGCTCCGCCAAACGTGAGCTTTGCGCACCTCCCCGAGGAAAGTAGACCACCCCGGAAGTTCATGCGCTACGAACGCTCGGCTCTCGAGGCGGAGAACTGCGTCAAAGTCACGCTCAAGTTCACTCGAACCAAGCTTTACGTCGTCTCCAGCGATGAAGAATCCTAGTCCGTTCCCGCGTGCGGTCCTTTGAGAGAGACTTGCCACGTGGACGACGTCGTGTCCATGTTAGAGAACGCGTTCAGGCGATCCAATCCGTCTCGTGCCGCGGCGATTCGCGTCTCGATCTCTCTCGCGTCCGTCGCCGCGCGTCCCTCCCTGAACTCGGTCTTGATCTCCTCGACCATCTTCCCTCTATTTCGACTGGGAAACTTGTTCGCCGAGCGCAGGACGGCGCGATAGAGACGCAGCGTGGACGACATCCGCGCGTCCGTCGCGTCCGTCGCGCGTCGTCGTCGTCGTCGTCGTCGTCGTCCTTCTTCACGCGCTCGTCGACGATCGACGCTCGCCGACGCTCCGCGCGCGCGTCGCTCTGACAGACGGAGCACCGCACAAGATGTCGCTCCGTCGGCTCGCGTTGGCGTCCACCGCCTCCGCTGGCGCGGCGTTGGGGGCGTACGTCGCGAACGACGAGGGCGCGCGACGATCGGCTCGTTTTTGGTACAACGCCGCCCCGGTGTACGCGCGATATCGCTTGGTACAGGCGAGACATCGAGACTTGCGGCGTTTGGGCGTCCCGGAGTGGATCGGGGCGACGCTGAGCGATGCGGACGCGGACGCGGCGTACGACGCTCTGCACGACGCGTACGCGATGAAAGTGCGCGATTTAGTGTACGACATGCGAGGGTTTTATCTGAAGAACGCGCAGTTGCTGTCGACGCGAGATGACTTTGTGCCGAGGCAGTACCTGTCGTGGTGCAAGGACACGCAGGATAGCGCGCCGGTGGAGATGCGACCTGGAGAGGCGAGGGAGATCGCGGAGAGAGAGCTCGCTTCGAAGGGACACACGGGAGTGTTCGAGGAGTGGGACGAGAATCCGCTCGGCGTAGCGAGCATCGGGCAGGCGCATCGAGCGAAGCTGTCCAAAAAGTATGGAGGCAAGACTGTCGTCGTCAAGGTCCAGGCTCTGGGTATTGAGCGCCGATTTCGGGCGGACATTCGCACATGCATCGACTTTTGTAAATTAGCGATGCCACAGCACGTGCCGCCTCTGGAGGAGATCGAGAGACAGTTCATGACTGAGTTTGATTATTGCGCCGAGGCGGAGAACCTCGAGGAGGTGCGATCAACGGTGATGCCGGTTTGGGGGAAGCAGGTGTACATTCCGGCTCCCCACACGGAGCTGTGCACGAAACAGGTCTTGATCATGGATGAAGTGCCGGGAAAGCGATTGGTAGACGGTATTCGCGATCAGTTTGATGCCATCGCTCGCTACAACGGAACGTCAGTGAGCGATTTGGAGGAGAAAGAGAGAGAAAATATTGCGAGCGGGAGTCTCAAGGGTCGAGACGCAAAACAGGCGGCGCAGTACACGAAGAGAGTGAATACTCTTCTCACGTTCAAACACAGACTACTTTTACCAATCAAGCTCGCGTACAACACGTCGCCTCTTCGTTTGGTGACCGGACCTGTGAATTGCCAGCCACCGCCAAAGCTCATCAACTTGGGGGCGCTTTTGCAAACGTTGATAGACGTCCACGCGTATGAGATTTTCGAAACGGGCGTATTTAATGGCGATCCGCATCCAGGAAACATCATGTTGATGCCAGACGGTAGACTCGGATTGATTGATTACGGTCAGGTGAAACGCATAGACATCAACGCTCGGAGAGCGTACGCGAAGCTCATTCTCGCCGTCGCGGAAGGCGACGCGGCGGAATGCCATAAAATAGTTCAGTCGGAAAAACCTGACGGTTTTGGTGCGAAGAGTCACAACTCAGATCCTGAAGTCACTTTGAAGTTATCGACTTTTTGGAACGACAGGGACACTCCTGACGTCACGGAGGGTCTCAATTTGCAAGAGTTCTTGGATGAAATGCAAGCGCGAGATCCGGTGATTAAGGCTCCCGATGAGATGGTCATGATTGCGCGCGTATCAGTACTTTTAAGAGGTATGGGAAACGCGTTCAACATCAGGCTCAGAATGGCTGAGGCTTGGAGAGAGGATGCCGAGAAGCTGCTCATGCGCACCGATCCCGATTACTTTCTCTTGCCAACAAATCGCGCGAGTTAGCTTGTATATAATCATTTATTTGTGTCTAGAAATTGTAGAATGCGTATTGAAAGAAAATTGAATTACTTCTTGGTCCGTTCGTTGACCGTCACAGTCACGGTGACACACTCATCTTCACCGACAATGAGGCTGACGGTGAGCAGTTGCTTGTGCGAGCTACCTCCCTTCCTTTTGCCGTTCTTCTTGCCGTGCTTCTTCGAAGAAGACTTCTCGTCCTTCGCCTCCGCTTCTTCCGCGTCTACTCCTCCCTCTTCTTCGCTGTCTTCGCCGGCCGCGATCTTCTCCTTCTTGATCCTTCGCTTCTCCAAGAATTCTTCCTTTTTCGCCTGGATGGCGACGATTGCGCTAGGAACTTCGGAAGCCTTGGCCACGACGGCGACTTTGATCTTGGAGAAGAAAGCCAAGGTATCGAGGGAGTGCTGAATGAGTTCATTCTTCGGTCCCTTCGCGTTACCGTTCTTCTTGCCCTTCTTCTTGTACGTGTCGCTCACGGCGAACATGTCGTCATCATCGTCATCGCGCTTGAGGAGCGTCATGCTCTCCAGCGCCTTGGTGACTCCTTCGCCCGTCGTCCCTGCGGGCGCGTCGTTCTCCTTACTCGCGCTCATGTCCCACTTGGACAAGTAACCGATCAGGGTATCACACGCCGAGACTTCTTCTTCGAAGGGCTCAGGAGCGTTGTCCTTTTCCCACTGCTTTCGAGCCGCCTCTCGAGCCTTGCGTTCCTCTTGTTGCGCTTCCCACTGCTCCTTCTTAAGTTCTTTCTGTTGCGCGCGGAACGCCTTCTCGCGAACCCAGTAAGCGTCCTCAATGATCTTTTGCTCGGCGTAGAGTTTATTAATGTCCTCTCGGACCTTTTTGATCTCCTGGTACACCGCGTTCTTTTCCTCCGTGAGCGATGGCACGTCGGCGTTCTTTTCATCAATCTTACTCTTATCTCCATCCAGCGTGGCGCGAATCTTCGACTGTTCCGCCTTGATGCTATTGATTTCCGCATCTTTAGCCTTGATCTTGTCCATTTGCGATTTTCTCGCGACCTCGTGGGCGGCGGCGACTGCTTGCTTCTCGGCGTACGACTTCACGCCGTCCCTACTCTTGTTTAAGCCCTTGATCACGTCGATCAGTCTCTTCTCCTCGGAGAGCGGCATCGTCTCATGCGCGAGTTTATTCTCCACGCGAGTGATCTCGGCGTCGATCGCCTCGTTCGTCAGAAACTTGGACCCGTTTCTCTGCGCGTTCGCCTCCTCTCGAGCCTTGTCCCTCGCCTCCGTCGACGCGTTCATCGCCTCCCGCATCGTGTTCCTCTGCGCGATCTTCTCGTTCGCGATCGCGTTCAGGGCTTTAAACTTTTCAATTAACGGCGCGTTCGCATCGTTATGTCTCTGTCGGTCGCCCTTCTTCGCGTTCACGATGGATTTGATCTCCTCGATCCGGCGCTGCTTCGCCTCGGTGATCTCCTTCAGGGCTGCGATCTTGCGTTCGAATTCATCCCTATCGGGCTTGGGCGGTCGGCTCAGCCTTTGCGCGGTCGTCGCCGTACTTCCCGTCGTCTTCTCGCTCGTCATCGGGCGCGCGCGCGGTCGACGAGTGCGGACGCGCGCCCGCGTCACCCGCGCGCGTTCCGGCGGTGTCGAAAACGTCGCGGGGACGCGTCGCATCTTTACGTGGCGTCGCGTATACACCATACACCACCATCTCAAGGGTGAGGAATCATCACGAACGCGGCGCGACGGACACATCGCGCCCGTAACGTTCACCGCGTGTCGACCGCGTGTCGATGAGATGTGACGATGTGTCATTCACACGAGTTAGGACTCATGGCGGTCACCACCGTCACACCTCACCTCGGGGCGTTGGTCTAGTGGTATGATTCCTCGTTTGGGCGACGAGTCGCGGAACATCGCGATATATTCTCACACCGCATCGAGACGACGACGGACGTCGAGGAGGTCGCGAGTTCGATTCTCGCACGCCCCCTTGTATGCTTTTTAAGCCCATCATCTTTTTTTTAATTCCTTGGAACATAAAAAAGTTTATCTGTTCTAAACCCTATCTGAGTATACAATGGATTTTAAGCCCATCAGAGAAAAATATATATCTCGATATCCCCTTTTTGATCGACGCATTCCTTCTCATATATGTGTGATATGTCCGAGTGTATACATCACAGAGAATCACCTCCGTGCCGCTCGACGATTCACACGCGACGTTCGTCCCTTCGCGGCGCGCGCGGCGCGACGTCGCGATCGATACCGCTCGCGACGCTCGCGCGTTGTCACCGACAGTCCTCGTCGACGAACGTCGCGTGTGAATCGTTGAGAGGCATCGAGGAGCGATGAGACGCGATGACTCTGACTCGGACGATTACATCGACGTTCGCGCGCCGACGCGCGATCGGGGACGCCGCGAAAGCGCGTTCGCGACGCACGATGATGTTCACGTCCCGCCGGCCGCATCGTCTCGAGACGACTCCCTGCGCCTCGCGCGCGCGGTCGTGGACGAGCAAAAAGCTCTGTTGGCGTGCGAGCGCGCGCGAGCGGACGACGCGGAGGACGAGTTACATCGGGTGACGGCGCTGGCGGACGCGCTGACGAGGAAATTGGACGAACTATCGACGATATTCGAGGCGCGCGCGCGGGCGACCGCGCCGCGAGAGATCGAGTCGGCGACCGCGTCCGCCGCCGCGACGCGGTTAAAGATTGAGAACGAACGACTGCGGCGAGATATGAAGGAGATGGAGGAGAGACACGCGCGTGAGATCGAGGAGCTGAGGGCATTGACGTCGACGAATGAGGCCTCCGAACGGCCGCCTCTGACCAAGGACGAGCGCAGGCGTTTATTGAGAGAAGTCGCGGAGGCGAGAGAGGAGATTGCAGTGGCGAAAGAGGCTCGCGCAAAGGCGCTGGCCGAGGCCGTCGAACTTAGGGACAAGTTAGAGCATAGATCAGGAGCCAAGTCTCCACGGGTAGTAGCGGAACGTAATCCCTCGCCGCCGAAGACGCCGCAGTGGGCGAATGTTGACTGGGACGCCGCGCACGCCGAGTTCATGAAGACTGAGATGACGTCGCCACAGGGACCGCGGCAACAGTCTCACGCGCCACCACGGCAACAATCTTTCGAAAATATCGATTGGGAGGCTGCTTATGCGGACATGGAGGCGACACGAGCGCAGAAACGTGCGGAGCGAGCGGTCACGGGAGCGTAGGCGACGCAGCGCGCTACTAGCATCGGTAGAAAAATAGACATCGAATATTAAATCTTCATCCGGATTATTCCACCTCGAGCGTGGTGAAGTACTTGAGCAAGTCCGTCTTCTCGCCCTTCGCCTCCTTGATCAATCGCTGCAGATCACGCGGTTTCTTGATCTGGCCCTGGATGCCAATCTCTTCGCCGTCCGGCTTTGGGATGACCCACAGCGGCCACGCGCTTGTGTACCCATCGCAAATTCCATCGGGCTTCACGCGATCTTCATGTCCCGGGGAGTTTTGGTACACCCCATCCGGGAAGCACTCGATGTAGTCGATGTACTCCATCGCCTCCTTGCCCAGAAGTTCCTTTTGTTTGTTGCAGTTCTCGCACCAGAACGCTCCGTACAGTCGCGCGCCCGCCTCCTTCAGAGCCTTCGCGACGTTGATCGCCTCCTCGCTTGACTCCGCTTGCACCGCGTATTTCGCGTACGGGACGGCGACCACCTTCTTCGCCTTCTCCTCTTCGGCCGCAATAGCGCTCAGAGGTGACAGAGCGCTCGCCAGAGCCGCGGTGGATAGACCGAACAGCGCGCGTCGTCTGTCGACATCATCGGCGCCGGCTTGGGCGTTTTCTGACGCGCGCGGACGAAGAGAACGACCGCGACCGACGCGCGATTGAGTGTTCTTCGCCACCGCGCTCGCGGCCGTCGAAACTCGAGCAATTTGAGACATCGTCGAGGCGAGAGGGAGCGAATGCGGTTTGGATATGTGGTTGGTGGAGATCTTACTTTTCGTCGACGAGTGCTTTGGATGGAAACTACCGGTCGTTACATCGTCGCGACGAGGTCTAGGACGACCCGATCTCGCTCGAGAGTTTATCTAAGATGCTCTGCACCCGGTGCTTCATCACGGGCTGGCCTCGTTTGTTCTTTTTGCGCATGAGATTCTTCTTGTTCTGTCGTTTGTCCCGCTGTTCCCTGAGCGTTTCGTCTCGCTTCGCCTTGGTCTCGAGGAAAGCCTTTCGATCGGCATCGCGCTGTTCACGCGCGGCTTGCTGCTTTTCGTAGACGCTCATCTTCATCTTCTTCTTCTTCTTCTCGCTACCTCCGCGCTGCTCCTCGGGCGCGTCGTCGTCGTCGTCTTCGTCGTCCGCATCGCGCATCGCCGCTCGCGCGTCGCCGTCCGTCCTTCCTCTCCCGCTCGGACCCGCTCCGACACCGAGCGTGGGATCATCGATCGCTGCCAATCGTCGTTCATACGCCTCCGGATCGAATCCCTCCTCTCGCTCAATCTTCGTCCCTAACTTTTTCTGCAACCGCTCGTACCGCGCCTTTCTCGCCGCGCCCTCCGCTCGATTCTGTTTAATCCTCTCCCGCTTATCGTACGTCGACTGTCTCGCCTTTATGAATCGCCCGATCGACAGCGCCTCTCGTCCGTTTCGCCGCATCTCCGTCCTGCGCAGCGCGTCCGGTCGCTTCCTCGATCGACCAAACTTTTCATTCTCCTCGTCTCGCGTCGCCGCCATGGCCGTCGCCCGCGCCTCGCGCGTCGCCCTCGTCCGCGTCTCTCGGATGCCCCGCGATCGCGCGCCGCGCTCGAGGTCGACGCGCGCGGTGTTCGCACGCGCGCGAACCGATCCCTCGTCCCGTCCTCGCGCGTCGCTTCCGCCCGCGAGCGCCGTCGCGCCGCGCGTCCACCTCTGTCGCGCTCGAGTCGACGACGCGTCGGTGGTCCCGCACACCGCGCCCGTCGTCGTCGTCGCCGTCGACGCGTCGCGCGTCCGAGCGCGCGCGTCGACGGTCGCGATGGAGCTTCCGAGTGCGATCGCGGGCGCGATGGACCGAGCGCGCGAGGCGCGCGAGCGCGCGATCGACGCGACGACCGAGGCGTCGTCGAGGATGGATCGAGCGTCGAGCGACGCCGCGTTCGCGTTGGTCAAGGCGATGGAGACGGCGATGCGAGGAGTGAGCGATGTCGTGGACGACGCGCGGACGCGTGGCGAAGCGGTGGTGGAGAGAGCGAGGGAGAGCGAGGATGAGTTCTTTCGAAGCGCGAGTAAGCGGGTGGTGGATTTCGCGCGGGCGAACCCGGTCTCGGTGGGCGGGACGGTTGCGTGCGCGGTCGCTTTGGCGCTTCCGGCGCCGCGAGCGTTATTATGGCGGTCGACGATCGGGCGACTGCAGAGCGAAGAGGCTTTGTTCAATGCGTGCGTGCGAAGGAGCGAGAGGTTGACGCTCGAAGCGGAGGCGGCGAGCGCGGAGATTCAACGCCTGGCCGAGTCGGTGAGCGCGGCGGAGATCGAGATGAAGCGAGGGGCCTCGAACCTGCGTGCGGCGGCGAGGGAACTTCGCGCAATCGAGTCCAAGACGTACGGGATGGATAGCAAGGCGTCGTCGCTTTTGAACGACCTGCGCGTGCTGCCGAGCGCCGAGGCGGCGGCGCTGCAAGAGCAGGTCGCCGGCACCACGGATACGGTTGCCGCCCATCGCTCCGCCGCTCTCAAAGTGTTGAAGAAAATCTTTAAGAGCGGGATCGAGGTGTGAATCGCTCGCTCCCCGTCGCGATTCCACGGATTCACCGCACGCAATACATAGCTTAGCAGCCGCTCGCGACATCACGCGTCGCGGTTCAAATTGACCGCTCTCGAGCCATCGCATCGTCGCCCTCGTCCCTCCTCGCCCGTCGCGCGCGCGCTCTCGACCGCGCCTCGTCCTTCGCATCGCGTTCGTTCATCGAGATCGCGTCGTCGTCGAACCTCCAATCCTCATGGGGGAATGCGAGGTCTTTCACTCGCTTTGGAGAAATGTAAAAAGATTTGTGCTCGACGCGCGCCCGTCGTCACGGTTCATGTACCGTTCGCGATCGAGCGGTCGTTCCACGACGGTTACGGGTGCGTGTCGAGGACGGACGTCACGATGCGGTCGTCCGCGGTCGTCCCGTCTCGCACGGTCGCGGTCCCGCGCGCGCGCGCGCGCGCGGGAGCGTCCAGACGAGACGTTCTGAACGCCGGTCTCGCGGTCGTCGCGGTCAGTATCGAGAAAGAGGCGAGCGCGGGGACGTACAAGCGATCGTTCAGGGAGAGGTTCGAGACGAGCATCTCCTCGGCGACGCGCGATTACGAGTTCACGATGCCCGACGATTGGGCGGCGGACATCGTGTCGCTGAACGATGGTAAATTGTACGGCGTGGACACGCGATACAAGAGCGGTTCGGGGAACGGACAGCTCGCGGTGAGCGTGCTGCCGTTCGTCGGCGCAGACTCGATAGAGCAAGCCGGGTCGGCGGAGGACGTACTCGGACGATTTGAAGAGCTCGTGGGGGCATATTGGGAACAGAATGGATTTGGGGTTCCAGGACGAGCGGGTGCCGTGAAGGAGACGTCGTTGACGAAAAAACAAGGGGTTGCGTATTACAATTACGAGCTGGTGAACCCGCATAACTTGATATCGGCGTGCGTGGTCAACGGCGAGCTGTACATCATGGTCGCGTCGTGCGGAGCCCGTTCGTGGAAAACCGCCGAGAGCGATTTACGCTCAATCGTCGACTCGTTCACTGTGCCTCCGTAGATCGACGTGATGAGTGTATAAAGGTGTAATTGTTCACATCCATTTTTTTGGGAATCGTTGCTTTGCGGAGGAGATCTTTGTGAATCTGTGCTGTGTCAAATTCCGTTCCGGGTCGTATGTTGAGACTCGGTGCTCGAACGTTGATGCGTGTCGTTGTTCTGGAGGTGGTGGCATCCGATAAGACTCCAGCATCTCAGGGAATTCGTTCATCGATGGCTGACCTCTAACTGTGCGAGTCGCGGTACTATTGGACGGTCCACCACCACTGTTGCGCATTGGTACCCACAATTGACCGCCAATGTCAATCTTCGACGGATTTACGCGAGAAAACGGCCGCTCTGGCGACATGAGACTGCGCGGCGGTGCCGTCGGAGAGATGCGAAGGTCCATCGCAGGAGACGGAATGTGAATTTTGTGCTGAACCATCGAAGGGCGCCGACTCGGCGTCATGTAGAGCGACTCTAAACTTGAAGAACCAAATTCCATAGAGTCGTCCAACCGCTGCCTTTTGATCGGTGAGAGGAAGTCAGTGATCGGTCGAGAAGCGTGGCCTTCGTTCAGGCCTCGCGGTCGAGCGTGAGTCTGCGGTGAAAACACCGGCGAAGCAATCTCGGTGGGCTGAATCATTCTTCGCCCGTTCATCAGGACGCTCAACGGACAACCGATGTTTCCTTGACCTTCCAGATGCGCCATGACTTTCGGGGTGAACCCACCTGAGGTCTGAAGTCCGCTGCGGACAATGTCATCAGCCAAGAGAGTACATGCCGAAATTGGGTTGAGTAGCGGTAACATTTCGCATAACTCCAACTCTTCTGTCGATGGCTCGACTGGAACTGGTGCGGTAAATTCCGAAAGATCCGTATTCTGTGGACAGAGTACGTCTATCACCGTCGGGAGAACCTCTTCTTCCACGCAAAATCTGCAATCGATGGAAATATTCAGACGCAGAGCATCCGAGCAGACGCGTCTGCAGAGTGACTGAGCGATGCGTAAAAAATCCAAGCCACCTTCAAAGATGATTGTTCCAGACAAAAACGAATCAGACAAAGCCACGACAAGATCTTCCGTCAGTGAAAATAACTCGAGCTGAGTCGGCAATCCCTCGACAAAATATTCAGGCACGATGAGTATCACCGCGTGCACTTGATTTCCGATGGTGCAACACGCGTCGACATCAATAGCGAACGGTCTCAGGACGACTTCGCAACCGTGGTCGATCAGAATTCTCTCGACTTCGGCAAAAAGATGATCTCGAGCACCAACGATTTGTCGCGCCACATTAAGCACGACCATATGTCGCGGCACTCCATTGAACTCTCTTGGAGGTGACAGGTTGGGTTCCTCATCATAAACTGCGCTCGTGTCCCGGGCACTCTTGACACGTTCACGTGAGTGATTCAAGGCTGAAGAAGCCGGTTCAAGATACTCGTTTAACCAACGACTATCTTGCTTCACCGTGAGAGCGTGCACGAAACGATTTGCAGCATAACGACTTGAGCCCACTGTACGAATAAGCTCGAGAGCTTCAGCAGATGGAGCGTAGTAAACACAAGTGGAGAACAGTTCCAAGGGAAATGCCTCGTGATTGACGTGAGCTTCGAGCGCAATTAAGACGTCCGTTTCGGTTGCACTGATTCGTGCGGCGCGAGAAAATTCCTCGATGTCTTCATCTTGCAAGCTCGTAAACTCTTGCCTGCCATCAAACTGGCGCACGCGCATGTTCATACGGCTGATGAACTGCCTCACCGCAAGAATACTCAGTGTATCGGGGAAAATAACAAGCATCTTACCCCCGCTCACAATCAATCGTGCGAGGTACGTTTTCAGCGCGCGTAATTTGGGGTGATCGTCAAACTCGCCGCGCGAGACGGAGACATCCTGACGTTCAATCAAGTTCTTGATATCTCCTAAGTCTTGATCATCCTTGGCTTCGTTTCGCATAAACGTGTGCGCCATGTGAACACCGTAAACTTGAACCAGATTCGCCGCGGTTTGACAGCACAGTAAACTCTTCAGATGTCGAGTGATTGCTGGCGGTTCATGGGCAAATTGCATCATAAACTGCGAAATCTTTGACGACTGCCCGAGCTGAAAAGTTGGAATCATTGCTTGAACATCCAAGGGTAAAATTTGCTTCGTATAAGCATACCGCTGAGCTAAAACTTGAATCAGATCAACTTGATATGAATCGAGTGTGATTTCAACCACATCGATCAAACACGTGTTGCTCGCGTGGTTGGCGTTTGGGAGTGATATTGATTCACTAAGCGTTGGCAAACGCGGATCTGACGCTTTCGTCGTCTTCACTGGTTCATTTGCGCTTGAATGTGGCTGAGGTATGTCATCCCAAGTCCAATCACCGTTTTCATCTTCGAATATAACCTCGTCTAACATCGCTGGGAGATCCTCTTGCGTTCTCGACTTCTCCAGCGATTCCATGAGGCTCGGAAATGGAACCTTCCAATTCGACAGGGCAGGCGCTCGCTCCTTCACTTCTTCCACGCTCTTGATGACATCTCTAATGGCGCGTTCGGCCCGAAAAGTCGTATCATCTTCTTTATCAGTCTTCGGAACGGGCATTTGGTCCAGCACAAACTTTTTGCTCGGAACCTCGAGAAGCTTCTTCGTCAGGTTTTCCTTTGCGCGCAAGGCAAAATCTTGATTGATCGGAGCTTCGACATTCACTGGCTTCGTCATAGACTTCAGAACCGACTTAACATCAGTTTCAACTGTACACGGATTCACGACTTCCATCAAAGTCGGTACGTTGACGTCTCGCACCGGAGGCGGATTGATTGTCGCAGTGCGCATCGCTTCCTCGAGTGGATCTATCGAGGGCAACGCCTTCGGTCCTCCAAGTAAGAGCTTCTTCAAATAATCCTTCCATGAGCTGTCTACCTTTAATTCGCCCTCCCATGGTAACATCTCCACTTTCTTGGCGAGAGTCATCGCGAACGCGAGCGGAGTCTCGAGAAGACTCATCCCGTCAAGCGCGAATGACGTTTCGCGCAACCTCGGGAAAAGGCTCAAGAAATCCTTCATCTTCTCCGACGGCGTCTCTCGCGGCACTTCATCCGAACGATCGACGTCATATCGTTTCTGCAAATCATTCTCGACGCAATCGAGCGCGTTCAACGCGTCTTCATCGAGATCAAATATCGTTTCTGACGCCGTCTCGAAGCTCGCCTGTCGAATCGCCGATCGAATACGCGTCCTCGTCTCGTCCTCGTCCTCGATCACCGGCACCTCCATCGCGCGCATCCTCGGTTTTTGAACGTTCGACGTTTCAATTTCCATCAACCTCTCCCTCGCCCCGCCGTCGTCTTCGACGCGAATCTTCATCGGCTTGACCGTTCCGTACGCCGCGTCTCCCGCGTCTCGTCTCGCGCGCGCCTCCTCCGTCCACCCCATCGTCTCCTCGCATCGCACCACGGGCACCGCCTCTATGATATCCCGCGCCGTCATCCCTCCATCCTCCGACCGTCGTCTCCCTCCCGTCATCCCATCGTCAAACGTCACCGAATCCTCCTCGCTCTCGCCCACGTCCCATCCCCCCTCGCTCGTCGTCGTCAACCCATCGCTCACTCGTCTTTGCGCATCCTCCGTCAACGTCTCCGTCGCACGCTCCACCGCGCGCGCACCGAGATGTCGCATCGCATCCCGTCGCACGTCTTCCGTTCGCACGGAGACGTACCGCATCGCCGCGCCCGTCGTCGTCGCGTCGTCCTCCGCCGATCCGTCGCGCCGATTCGTCTCTCGCGCTCCCAGACCGCGCTTTGATCGCGATCGATCGATCGATTCGATTCGATCGCGATCGACGGAATCGATGGAATCGATCCCATCCCATTCCATCGATCGCATCGATCGATCGATCCCATCGCTTCGATCCCATCGATCGATCGCGTCGAGTCCATCGATCGATCCCATCGAGTCCATCGATCCCATCGCTTCGATCGCTTCGATCCCATCGATCGATCCCATCGATCCCATCGATCGATCCCATCGATCCCATCGATCGATCCCATCGATCCCATCGATCGCATCGATCGCATCGATCGATCCCATCGATCCCATCGATCCCATCGCCTCCGATCGTGATCGTCCCCATCGACGCCGGGGTCGTCGCCGTCGGTGCGCATGCCGTGTGGGCGAACAGTCCGAGTGTGCGCCCGCGACGTCGAGGTCCACCGCGCCGGCGGCCGACGTCACATCGACGACGACGCGGTGCGACGACATGGCGCTCGCGCTCGGGCGCGCGTGCGATGGACCTCCGCGCGCGCTCGGGGTGGCGATGGCGGTGACGCGCGGGCGACGCGCGGGTGACGCGCGCGCGCGCGTGCGAGCGCGACGGTGGACCGCGACGGTGTCCAAGCTAGGTCGAGGGATGGCGGTGGACGAAGGGGTCGTCGCGCGGGCGTCGGTGGCGGAGAGCGCGGATGAGGGTGAACGACGCGACCGAGGGCGATTGATCAAGGGCGCGGATGGGAAGTTCATCCGTGAGGGGTCGGAGCGCTCGGACGAGGGTGGACGCGGTGGACGCGGCGGACGCGGCGGACGGGGCGGCGGGAGAGGCTTTGGTCGAGGACGCGGCGACGGCGACGGCGACGGACGCGGTGGACGCGGTGGACGCGGTGGACGCGGTGGACGCGCGTCGTATGATGGTGGTGGACGCGGTGACGGTGGCGGGCGGAATGGTGCGGGGCGAAACTTCAGGAACGACGCGAGGCCGGCGGGCGGTCGCGGGAACGCCGGAGGTCGAGCCGGACGCGGCGGCGGGAGGAACAATTCCAACGCTCGCTGGCAAGACGGACGAAAGGGCATGGGTGGCCGTCCGCGACCGCAGATGAGCGATGCGAGCATGAGCGATCAGCTCAAACAAAGACGCGGAAGTAAGGCTGCAAAGCAAGCGCAACGCAGAAAGCAAGCCGAGGAGAACAAGGCTGTGGCTGTGGAGATTCTCGAAGTCCCAGCGGAGGGCATGGGAATCGACGATCTTACCGATCTTCTCGCGACGACGCAGGCGCAAATTATTAAAACACTCTTCATGAAGGGAATCGCTGTGCAAATGGGCCAACTACTCGATAGAGCAGCCGTGATCGCCGTGGCGGAGGACATGGAAGTGGAGTGGATCGACGAAGCCGAGCAAGGCGTCGAGGTTGCCGCCAAAAAGGTCACGCAGTTCATGAGCGAGGACGACTTCGATTTCTTAACAGCACGCGCTCCTGTGGTGACCATCATGGGGCACGTAGACCACGGTAAGACGTCGCTTTTGGATTACATTCACAAGTCCAAGGTTGCCGCGGGTGAGGCTGGTGGAATCACGCAAGGTATCGGCGCGTACCAAGTTAGTACCATGGTTGGAGACGAAGAGAAGGAGATTACCTTCCTCGATACCCCTGGTCACGAAGCATTTAGCGCCATGCGCGCACGAGGCGCTCGAGTGACCGATATCGCCATCATCATCGTCGCCGCCGACGACGGCATGCGACCGCAAACCGAGGAGGCTGTCTCCCACGCCAGAGCAGCCGACGTGCCGATCATCGTTGCAGTCAACAAGATCGATAAAGAAGGTGCCAATCCCGACCGTGTGCGCGACGAAATGTCGCGTATCGGCGTCATCAGCGAAGAGTGGGGCGGGGATATTCCGTTCATGCCCATCAGCGCCAAGACTGGCGAAGGCATCGACGATTTGCTTGAAACAATCTCTCTCACTGCGGAGCTGTGCGAGCTCGTCGCGAACCCCGATCGAGAGGCTCAAGGTACCGTCATCGAAGCGTTCCTCGATAAACAACGCGGTCCTATGGCCACTGTTCTCGTCCAAGCCGGTACTCTTCGTATCGGCGATGCGATCCAAATTGGTGGCATCTACGGCAAAGTTCGGGCGATGGAAGACTCCCAGGGCACGAAGATTGATGAGGCTGGACCCTCCGTCCCGGTTCAAATCATGGGTCTCAACGGCGTCCCTATCGCAGGCGAAGAGTTCACTGTCTTTGCGTCGGATACCATGGCTCGTGAGAAGGCCGAGAAGGTTCAAGAAGAGGCGCGCAACAACCGTCTGATTGAAGGTAACGTCGTTTCGCTGAACAACTTACCTGGCGACGAAGAAGGATTACAAAAGATAAACCTCATCGTGAAAACGGACGTGAGTGGTTCGTGCGAAGCCATCAAGGCTGCTCTCGGCGCACTGCCACAGGATCGCGTGCAACTTCGATTTCTCATGGCCTCTGCAGGTGAAGTGAGCGAGAGTGACGTCGACCTCGCCGCCGCTTCCCAAGGGATCATTGTGGCGTTCAACACTCCGTGCAGCGATAGAATCATGGATATCGCTGACCGTGCGAAGGTTGAGGTGCGAACCTACGATGTCATCTACGATCTTGTCGATCAAGTCCGCGCCGCCATGGAGGGAATGCTGAGCTCCATCAAGGAGGAGATTCCGTTCGGCAAGGCGAAATGCAAGGCCGTCTTTGGTGGAGGTAAAGCGAAGGTTGCCGGTAGTGAGGTGATCGAAGGGAACTTCCAAGTGAAGAAGTATCTACGCGTCATGAGAAAAGGCAAAGAAGTTTACTTCGGCAAGGTTGGCTCCCTTCGTCGCATCAAGGACAACGTCAAGAAGGTGGAAGCCGGCTTGGAGTGCGGTATCGGCGCCGATCCCGAATGGGACGGCTTCAGAGAGGGGGACGAACTTCAATGCTTGGATCTCGTCGACAAGATTCAGACTCTTGAAACTGCGAGCGAGATTCTCGCCGAGCGCGTCGAGGAATATCAAGCCGGAGAGGATGAGCGGAATGCTGCGCGCGAAAAGGCCAAGGAGGGATACCAGCGACAGCAGCGACGAGGCGCGACGACGTCTTAAAAAACTAGTCAATGCGACATGCGCAATACATAGAACAAAGTTGAGCACGTGTAAACTAAATCAATTCAATTTTCAATCTCCTTCTTCGCCGCCTCTCGCGCTATGCGAGCGTTCTCCGCCTTCTTCAACCGCGCCTCCCGCCGCGCTCGCTTCTCCGCCTCGTCCCTCTCCGAGTCCTTCTCCCGAAGATCCACCCCGAGCGCGCTCGCGATCATCCGTCGAGCCGTCGACACGTCCGTCTTCGCTCTTCCCGGTGCTCTCTCCCTCGTCGTCGTCGTCGTCGTCGTCGTCGTCGTCGTCGTCGTCTCGTCCGTCTTCTCCTTCGTCTCTTTCGACTCCACTCGCAACGCGCTCACGCCCTGTACGAGCGCGTCCACGCTCGCGTCGTCCGCCGTGGACGCGTCTCGCCCATCCGTCGCCCTCGCGCTCCCGTCCTCGCGCGCCTCCGCGTCGTCCTCGCGCGCGTCGTCGCCCCGTCGCTCGCGCACCATCGCGTCGAGCTGTAACGACCGCCGCCTCGGGCTCCGCGGTCGCCTCGGTCACTTCGTCTCGCGCGCGTCGTCGGCGTCGATCGACGCCGCGCGCGTCGTCGGCGTCGATGTCCGCGAGGACGTCGTCGCAGCGCGCGGTGCGCGCACCGACGTCCGCGAGTGAGCTCTTCGGTGATTACGCCGCCGGACCGTCTCGCGCGCTCCAAGCGAGCGTTCGCGATCTTCGCCCGCTCGTCTCGGGCGTCGACGTCGATGGGTTCTGCTCGGGGGCGGCGGTGATGGTGTCCCACGGCCCGCACGATCGCTGGGACGCGGATGAGATGGGGAAACGGACGGTGGCGTTCGTGTTCGACGGCGTGCGCGCGGCGGACGCGGCGTTGGTCGATCTGGCGCTTCGCGAGCGTGAACGAGGCGAGGGGATCGATGTGAGTAATTTAGGAGGCTATCACTCTCGCCCAGATGCGTTCGAGAGGCTGGGTGGATGCGCGGCGGCGCTGAGAGCGACTGTCGAGCGCGCGTGCGAGGCGTGCTGGGACGCGGTGCGGGGCGACGCGAAGAGCGTGTGGGTCAAGGCGATGATGGGTGCGGGAGACCCGACAAAGGTGACCACATCGTGGGCGAACGTGTGCGAGCGCACCAACGGGCACGGGTTGCATAATCACGTGAATGCGGTTTGGAGCGGCGTGTATTACGCGAGCGACGGGCGAGACGCGGAAACGACTCCGCGCGAAGACGTCGACGAGCCGGGAGATTTGTTGATTCGAGTCACGGCCGGTGGACTTGATCCACTATCGGAAGGTCCGTCGGGGTATTGTTCGTACATGTGCGTCAAGCCAAAGGTTGGTCGACTCGTCGTTTTCCCATCATGGGTTCTGCACGGAGTTCTCGCGTCGGCAGGGGACTCGCCGCGCGTATCATACGCGTTCAACACGGGAGAGATTGGTGTGAAATTTTAGGCTAGCATATCTAAAAACTCTATTGGTTACGCTGTCGTCACGGGTGCCGTGATCTCGCTCAGTCTACCAGAGAAAAATCCTCGGCGCTTCGTCCCAACGGTGTATAGTTCTCGTTAAATCCGAATCCAGATGGTCGCACATACGGCTTCTTGTACACCCATGACACGTAAGCGAAGGTCGTTCCGAGCGTCGCACCGACAAGGACGTCCTCCCAGTGATGCCAGTAATCGCGGATCCTCGTCAAACCCACGAACATAGCGAGCAAAGTCGGTCCCAGAACCACGATTAATTTCCACACAGCCTCCCACCTTCTAAATTTACGCTCTTCTCGTCCGACTCTGAACCAAGCGGCGAGGTAGAGCGAGCAGTAAAACAAACCGCTGAACGACATAGACGTGTGCCCACTCGGAAAGCTCCTACGTCCTTGCTGGACGTCGTCGTTCGCGCCCGAGCACTTCGGCACCCCTGCAGACGCCCACACGATGTTCCCGTCTGGCCAACACCGAGCGACGAAATCCGGTCGAATGTTCCCTATGATGTTCTTCATCGCGCACGTCACCACCCACGTAAGACCAACGCTGACCGTCAAGCCGCCGATGGCTCGCTCTTTCCGCACGTGTGGGTTCCAGCTCCTAGGAACCGCGAGCATGCACGCCAGCGGAATCAAAAACGAGATGATCGGCACCACCACCGTCGGCACCGTGTTCTCCTTGTGCGGATAACTGTACCGCCACAGCATCTCTTGCTGAATGTACTTTTGATTCGGTTCCGCCACCTCGAGCCACGTCCCGAGCGAGAACATCAACCCGAACGCGACGGCGTCAACCGCCAGCGTCCGCGCGCGCGCGCGCCGCGTCATCAAGTTCGACGTCTCTTCCCGCTCTTCCCGCGCCTCCCGCGCCGTCTCGCCTCGCTCACCGCTCGACGACGCCATCATCGAGTCCACCATCCCGCGTCGACGCGCTCGACCGCGACGACGCCCCGAGTCCGCGCGGTATCCCGGACGTTATCCAATCGCCCCCCCTTCGGTGCCACTCCGATCGTTCGCGTCGAGCGTCCCGCGCGCGCTCGCGCGCTCGCGCGCGTCGTCACCGCGCGCGCCCGTCGCCTTCGTCGTCGTCCGCCTTCGTCGTCGCCGTCGTCCGCGCCGCGCGTCGAGGCGTCGCGATGACGTAGACGGCGCGTTCGTGCGTCGAGCGCAATCGAGGGGGTCACCGTTAAGTCATCACTCGTCACTCGACGACGAAGGGGGTCACCGGTGAGTCATCACTCGTGCACGGACACACCCGAAAACACCCGAAACACCCACTAGGGTTAGGGGGACGATCCCACTCGAACGTTGGCGCGATTGCTCGGCGCGCGCGAACGATGACGCGAGCGTCGAAGCGTAAGGCGACGGTACCGAAGCCGACGACGAAGGCGAACGGTGCGATGCTGCGGTGCGCGCGCGTGTGGGGGGGGGTGGAACGAGAATCGGTCGAGGGCGACGATGGGCACGCGTGACGATGGGCGCGGGACCACGGACTCGGCCGTTGCGGGCGCGGTGGAACTCGGACGCGCGCGCGCGCGAATGCGGACTGACGAGGACGTGGACGATGCGAAGCGAAAGCAGGCACAAAGGATAAGAAACCGACGGTACGGATGAACGATGGGTGATCGAGGAGGGCACGCGGGTGGAAGACGGGACGCGCGCGCGAATTGAAATGCCGACGAGGACGCGCGCGGGTGATATCGAGCGCTCACGTGGGGACGACGTCGACGCGTTAGGAGCGTGTGAGTGGTGAAATGGGATGAAAACTGACGGAGTGTTGTCCTGAACCAACGCAGGAGACGTCGAAGAAGGCTGAAAAGGTCGTGGCGGGTTCGCTCGCGGCGACGCAGAGCAAAGCTCCAGTGGATCCGTTCGCATTTGAGGAGGGTGATGTGGTCGTCGGATCGATTTCCTTGACCGTAAAATGGGTGATGAAGGGGCACACGACATCGGAGTGGACTTTCTCCGTTCCGGTGCGTCGAAAACGCGCGTGTCGACGACGAAGACGTAAACCCTAATCGTTATTTGAACCCTAGACTGACGAGCGTTTTCGCGAAACAGGCTGACGCGACTGTCGACTCGTTGCGTAAGATGGTCGAAGAGACAACGGACGGTGTTTTGAAGGCGCACGCAATCATTTTGAAGCACAAGAGCAAGGAAATGGATCGTACGAGCGCGCTACTGTCTGATTACGGCATCGGCGACGGCTCGGAAGTCGTACTCTTGCTCAACCACGAGGCGGGACCCGTCCCAGTGCCGCCGACAGCCGTGAACCACGGGTTCCCTGGAGAGCCGGTGGCGAAAAAGGCAAAGAAAGACAAGAAGGAGGGTCAGTCCGACAAGAAGCGTGAGCGTTTCACGAAGGCGGAGGCTGAAGATCTCATCAAGGGTGTCGAGTTGTACGGTTTGGGACAGTGGGCGCAAATCAAGTTAGCCTACTTCAGGTCGACTCAACGTACGGGCGTCGATCTTAAGGACAAGTGGCGTAACCTTGTGACTGCTTCGCAACGACCGCCTGGTTTCAAATTCCGCGTCGAATACTTGAACGATCCAGCGTTCCTTGGTCACGTTGCCAAGGTAAACACCGACGCGTTGAGCAAGCATCGTGAATAAGTACGGCAGTGCTCGTTAGCAGTGCGAAACATGTAACACTCAACCTCACAAAAAATGATGTCTACGCATCGGTGTCTACCTATCCTAAAGGCCGATTTTCCATCCCCTCCATCGGCGCGTCTTCCGTATTCTGTCGTTTCTTTGGCGCCTCGTCCTCGTGGAGCTTTCCGTGCACCTCGTAACGAGCGATGCTCTTCTTCTGAATGTTCACCACCGCCGCCGTGGCGTCGACGATGAACGCTATCGCGTCTAAATATTCCTTCTCCGTCAACGCCCCCGTCGTCGAGCAACCAACGATGGCGATCTCGTCCTTCTCCCTGTGCTTGCTCAGCGCGCACGCGCGAACCACCGCCCTCGCCTCCGTCTCCTCCCGCTTCGTCGGATCGATCACCATCGATCCCTCCCTCGTCAACGCGCACGCGTTGGCGCATATCAACCCACGCATGGGAACGTTCGCATCGATCAGGGCGCAGCACACCGCGTTCACGCACGCCGCTTCCGCGTTCCCGTCGTCGCTCACCACGCGCGCGGAGATCCTCAACCCGAATCGCGGAAAATCCCTCAGCTCCACGCACCGTTCGATCGCCCCTCGCAGCCTCCCCTCGCACGCCCGCTGATCGTCTCGCGACATCCAACCCGGGGCGCTCAGTTCGACGTCGATGACGCCGCGATCGTGCGCCTCTCGCCACGGCGCGATTCGCAATGGCCCGTGCACGGCGGCGACGACGATCGTCCCGTCGATGCGATACTCCGCGCTCCCGCTCGCGCTCGGCACTCTCGATCGATGCAACCGCTGACGACGGAGCATCTCCCGCGAGCGCCCGTCGGGACGAAGGGACGACATCGCGCGCGCGAGGCGACGTGTGCGGGACGGGTCGCGCGCGCCGCGTCTCTACCGACGCGCGTACGAGCACGACGACGCGATCGACCACCGCGTCCGCGTCCGCGGCGCGCGCGCGATGTCATTACACGCGACGTCCACGCGCGCGCGCGCGATCGATCGATCGCCTCGACCGAGGCGGGTCTCTACCGACGCGCGAACGGCTCGAACGCGCGCGCCCAGAGCACCGCCGCGGGCTGCATCACCGTCCCCACGAACACCTGCGACGCCGCGAAGACGACGAGCTGGAACCACCACGGGGGCTTCCCCGTGCGCGCGTCCACGGGCCACCACACCGCGCGCGCGGGCGTGGACGTCGTCGTCGTCCGCGTCGATGGCTTTTCGTCCCGCGTCGTCGTCGTCGTCGACCGCGTCTTCCCGGTCGACGCCTTCGCGCGCGCGCGGACGACGACGTCGCGTCGACGGGAGCGACGCGCCGACGTTCGCGCCCGCGCGGGCGTCGCGGGCGTGGGCGCGAGGGAGATCATGGCGAGGTGGAGATGGACGCGCGCATTCGTCGAGCGATCGCATTCACGCGCGCGCGCGTCGCTCGCGCGCGCCATGGCGTCGCGCGCGCGCGTGGTGATAGACGCCTACGTCACCCCCGACGCCGAGCGCGTGACGCGGTCGATCGCGTCGAGCGCGACGTCGACGGCGAGAGATGAATGTCTCGCCGCGCGATGGGTCGCGCGCTCGGGTGGACGGGCGCGCGGGTGCGCGCGCGTGGAGTGCGCGCTTTGGGCGATGGAGGCGTTGGAGGTGAAGACGGTGACGGTGGAGTGGATCGGGCGAGAGCGGACGAGGGACGGGGGCGAGCGCGTGGTGGCGCGGTCGAGGGGGGGGGAGGTGGCGGGGGACGGGACGACGACGACGGTGGAACCGGGATCGACGGCGACGTTCTCGTTTGGAATCGATCTCCCGCCCGTGCTCGCGCCGAGTTTTGAGGGTGAATGGATGGGGTACTCGTATGAGATCACGATCAGGGCGACGCTGGAGAACGGGGAGGAGCTCGAGGCGAGCGCGCCGCTCACGGTTCGAGCGCATGGAGATACCTGGAACGCCGAGTCGGAGGTTGAGGAGGGCGAGAATGACGTCGCGCGAACGCGAGTGAACCTCGCGGCGCCTTGGATTCACGTTGAGGATGTCGTACCACCGGAGTCTCCTCGTTTCGCTGGGTCGTTACCGTCGCCTCGAGCGCTGACGCCGTTTCACGCGTGGGGAGAAGACGTCGGCGAGACCCCGCGGAGCCCGAACGATGAGTCCGCGGCGCGGTCTCCGTTCGAGCGACAACATTCCGCGACAGAATCAAAGTCAAAGGCGTACATTGTGAGCGCTGGCGACGAACCTTTACTAAAGGTGATCCTACGTAAGCCGGCGCCCAAGTGCACCATCGGCGGAGAAATCGCGGGCGCTCTCGACTTCACGTGCTCAAGACCCGGCGGTGCAAGGGCATCCGAGGTGATGATCGCTCTGGAATCGAATGAAATCTTACACGCGGAGGCGAAAACGGCCCCGGGTGGAAGTCCGCCTATTTTTAGGAAAACGTGGGTTCGAACGAGTGAGCGCGTGGAACATCTGGACACCTCGCACTTCGTGATGAATCTGCCTTTGAACTCACCGGGCAGCTTTAGAACGGCGAGTGTGGAGTTGAAATGGCTCCTGAAGTTCGAAATTACGTCGGTCAGGACGTCGCGTGCGGGAGAATTCGCGGCATTTTTTAAGGGTGAGACGGAGAAGAGGGAGTATGCGAAGGTTGAGTGGATTTTGCCACTCGAAGTGGGAAGCGACTGGTTGACGTCTGTGTCCGCGGTGGGGAAAGTGGCGGATACGCAGTTGCGGCGAGAGTCATCTCTGGTAGCAATGCCTTAGCTAACAACTTGTTGAGATCTATGCGGAAATTTCCGGCGCGCCCGCCTCGACTGCCTCCCATAAAGCCCTGAAGGCGTTGGAATCGCGTGGGTCGACGCCAAATTTTTTCATCTGAGTCTCGAACTCCTTCGCATCTAGATAAAGTTGGCGACATATCTTGTCGGAATCACCTGTACCCGCGTTACTAGCTTTGCCCTGACGATCCTTCAAGCGGTTCAAACTCGCCTCCGTCTTCTTCACCGTCTCGAGGAGGTCGCGCGCCAACTCTCCGTACTTCTCGCACACAGTCTCCACCACTTGAGTCACGATTTCGTGTGTGGATGTCTTCGAGAGTGCTTTCGTTCGTTCGTTGTCCACGAACGTTTGGAGAGGAGCGAGAATCGATGGAACGAAGTGGCTATGTCTCGTCGGCATCGGCTTGTTCGTCATACGGAACGTCGCCGTTATGCCCTTCAGCTGTTTGAGTGCTTCGACGCATCGATCGACGTGCACTTTCACAATGAAAGTGTCGACGCGCGGAATAATCGCGGACAAGTCCTCAACCCCTTCAAGGATGCAGTCTAAAGCGAGCTTCGTCGCTTCATCACCGAGGATACTTATGCTCGTTTTGATTCGATCGGCACCATCGGAGCGTACGCGCTCGCAAAGTTTTTCAATATCCAGCCGCACCAAAATCAACTCGTCCCCACCTGCAGTGGCGCCCCAATTGGTTCCACCCACACTCACAGCACTCTCTTCCGCTCCCTTCTCAGCGTTTTGTTGCATAGCTAAAGCATCCATTCCACTATTCACCCAAGTTTTGTAACGAGACAATACCTGCGCGAAGAGTCTAACGAACTTATCCGCGAGCGCCGGAACAAACACATCGTCCGATGTGCACTTGCACATGGTCAGCCACGCTTGCGTCGTCGACGCGAGTAAGAATCCATCACTGGCGAGAGAGGTGTCCAATCCAGGTTGATTGAGCTCCTCCTCGACAGTAGTGGCGTATTCGTTGAAACGTAGGGAAAAATACACGCGGAGATCCCATCGTTTTATGTACGTTGTCAAATGCTTTGACGCACGGAAATCGTTCAACGACGAAGGTGTTGGCGCAAGCTCTTCCAGTCTATCTACGAAAGCCATCGCCGCTCGGTAATTCTTGATGAAAATATGAGGCATTCCCGGCGAATAAGCGTGCTGTCGTGCGGCACTAACTTGCGCATCAACCTCCGCAAGCACCGTACCCGCCAGGAAGTCAACAGTATGAAGGCCAGCATCCGGGGCTCGCGTGAGTTCCAACACATTCGAGCACGAAGCGATCGCGGCTTCGCCTAGCTGTGGTAAGATGGAATCGAAGTGTTCCTCACCCGCGGAGTCTATCGCTTTCTCTACGGCGGGCTGGATCAGTGTAGTCCGAACCACATTTTCCACTACGTCCATCTTCCCGATGGCGGCGCAAGCGTGAAGACAGTGGCTTATAATGTGCGCGTTCTTCTCCTTCAACCCGTCGATGAGCGCCGTTTGCACGAGAGATGTGAGCTTTAATTCGCAGTACTCAATGCGATCCGCGAGATCACGAATAGTCGCCAGGTCTTTGCCCTGCTTTTGGTAAAACTTCAATCGGTTCACCTCGCTAGAGATGCGATCGAGCAGACGAGCGCGCTCGTTTACGTCGTCGCTCACGTGACTTTGATGCATCTCATCCGCCGGCGCCGCGTCTCCACCACTCGTCGTCGCCGGTTCGTCATCGAACGCGGGCTCTAACAAGTCCAAACCTTCACGATCCTCGGCACTGATCAGGACCGAAGCGAAGACTTCTCCGACGTTTTCGCTCGTTTGAGCGCCGCTGCTCACGGACACCTTTTCACCCACGTCTAACTCACCCAACAGCCTCTCAACCTTGGAAACAGTGTGCGTGCACTCTTCTGCCAATCTTTTGCTCTCGCTCGCCCTCGCCCGTGCCTCGCGTTCCGCCGCGTTCGCCTCTAATCTCTCCAGCGCCCGAGCGATCTCCTCTCTCTCGGCTCGCACGACCTCTCTCGTCGCCTTCGCCTCAGGCTCGATCTCTCGCCTCAACTCCTCGTAATCCCTCAAACCATCGCCGAGCGAGGCGAACTCCTCGTAGTTATCCCTGACGATCACCTCCAATCGCGCTTTCACCTCCTTTTCGTACGCGTCGAGCGCCTCGCGCATCGCATCCACGCCGACGAACGAACTCGTCTCCTCCACGTACGCCCACGGGTCGAAATCGTCTCCCTCGAACGCTCTCGGGTCAAACCACGTCGGCGTCGACGCCTCCAACGCGCGCGCGTCGCCGACGATCGCGTCGACGTCGACGCCATCGTCCCTCGAGCTCGCCGTCGTCGTCGTCGCCTCGCGGTCGATCTCGACCGCGTCCACCGCTTTCTCTCGCGCGCGATCGGTCGCGCCGTCCATCACCACCGTCGTCGTCCGTCGTCGACGACGCGCGCGGTCGCGTGGCGCCGCGCGCGTCGCGCGCGCGTCGGCGTCCTCGACGATCCCGCGGCGGGGCTCGACCGCGGTCTCTGGACGATACATGGGCGTCGGACGCGTTGAATACGTACACGACCGTCCCGCATCCCTCGCGCGCGCATCGACGGCGCGCGCGACGCCGTTCGACGGCGCGCGCGGGCGTGGGGGCGATCGCGACGCGCGGGCGACGCGCCCGGTCGCGCTCGGGCGGTGATCGATCGCGACGCCGCGCGCGCGCGGGGGGGTGGACGTCGAAAGTCGGGACGGAGGCGGTGTCGACCGAGGCGAGGCGGCGGTGACGGCGACGGCGATGGCGACGGCGACGGCGACGGCGACGGAGGATGGGTTGGTGAATTTTGATGCGTTGGCGACGATGGAGAGCGTGCGCGAGCGACGGGGGAGAGATCTGCGGATCGAAAAGCTGCGAGAGGAGGACGAGAACAGCGAGCGGAGCGAGCGGAGCGCGGAGGAAGGGAGCGGGCCGGGGACGCCGACGGAAGCGGCGCCGATGCGGAGCGTTCTGACGAGGAAACCGTCCGTGGCGGCGTTGAAATTATTCAGTTCGATGGATGTGAACGAGAGCGAGGCCGAGAGCGAGAAGATGGACGCGGAGGAGGGAGACGAGGACGTGTGCTCGTTGAGCGAGTTCGCCATGGTGCTCAACGTCGCGGCTTGGGTGCGTGTCGACCTCGATCGAAGCTTCGACGCGACGCGCGATGGATCGAGACCGGAATTAAACTGACGATTTAAACGCTTCGCACGAATAGGATGACAAACTAGCCGGTCAACTGAACGTGGACGTGATCGTGAAGCAGTTGGAGTTGCTACGCGGGACGGTCGGGACGAACTCGTCACTGAGCGGCGTCTTGGGATTCGACGTGCATAGGGATTTGTCGGTTCGGGCGGATACGGCCGGATTCGTGAGTATTGGTTCGATCGCAAACGTGCTGTATCGAGGTATGGCACGTGCGCGATCAATGGCGGATATGAGCGACGACCTGGACGCGTTTGAGAACCTGTTGTACAAACGAGCGGTGAAGAGCATCTCAACGGTGCTCAGCAGTGGTAACGACGACGGTATCGTTACTTACGTCGATCTCAAGGCCAAGTTGAAGTACTTTGGCGTGAAGTCTAGCATGACGGACATCATCTCCATGATGAGTCAGGCCGATATCGAGGGCTCAGGGGTGGTCAAGGTGAGCGACCTCAGTAGGCTCTTGGCCAGGGAACTTGGGCAGTTGCGACAACTGCTCAATTCGAAGACAGAGGGCAGCACGAACTCGAAGACGAGAATTTCTTTAGAATTCGCGCGCGATGGGAATTCGCGCACCGTCAGAGATTGTCTTCTCAACGGTCAGGCGGCGTACGGCATCCTCCAGAGGTTCCCCACGGCACGTCCCAGTCGAAAGAAGCCGGGCCGTCTCAAATGGTCGGAAGACGAAGATATCGCCGCCGTGTGCCTGTTCGATAGGTCGGGCACAATGATGATTCAGGAACAGGGCGAACTCGTGACTCTCCCTACAAAACTAGATTATTTCACCGACGTTCACAGGAGCAAGGACACGCGAACCATCGTCGAGCTTCCACCAAAGGAACCCTCGGAGGAGGAGGATCCTCCACAGGGATTTGCGCGGATATTCGCCTGCTGTTTCGCACCCAAGGTTGCCTAACGGCATCCTTGAATCGCGCGCGCGCTCGCACGCATCGCTACCCCGTCGATACCCCTATTAGTGTAGATTTTGTGTTTCACAAAGTTTCCCAGCCAACCCGTCGTCGCGGTGTCTGTGAACCCTCCTTCCCGCCTCGGTCGCTCGCCCGGATCCGCGCACGCGTTCGTCACAGCGCGTCGTCTCGCATGTCGTCTCGCGATCGAGCGAGCGCGCACGCCCCCGCGGACTCCGTGTCCAGTCTCCACAGGCTTTCGGGCGATGCCACGTCGACGGCGAGACCGTTTGAGATTTCAGATTTCGTCACCGTGGACGTCATCGGCGAGGGTAGTTACTCTGACGTTCGCGAGGTGTTTCTGTCGTCGCGACCGAGCGAGCGGTACGCGCTCAAGGTGATGGATAAGGCGCACATCGTCCGAGAGTCCAAGTCTCGATACGTCGCGACGGAGCGAACGCTGTTGGCGGGACGCCTGCGCGAGTGCGAACACGTCGCGCGGTTAATGTTTACGTTTCAGGACACGTACTCGCTGTACATGGGGTTTGAGTTGTGTCCGGGAGGTGATTTATTTTGGCAGTTGAAGCGATCGGAGGAAGGGGTGATGGAGGAGACGAAGGTGGTGTTTTACGTGTCGGAAGTTTTGGTCGCGGTGCAGGACTGTCACGCTCGAGGCGTTGTGCACAGGGACGTCAAGCCAGAGAACGTGTTAATCGACGCGAGCGGGCACGTAAAAATATGTGATTTTGGAAGCGCGCTGGATTTACGTCACGAAGTAACGAGTGCGCTCACGGCTCTCGCGAGCGAGTTGCACAAGAAGAATAGCAAGCAAAAGGAGAAACGGTGCGCCTCTTTTGTCGGCACAGCCGAGTACGTGGCGCCAGAGATCCTGGACGGGTGCGAGGAGACGACGACGGCGGTAGACTTGTGGTCGATAGGAATAATGACGTTCCAGCTCTTGACTGGACGCGTGCCGTTCAAAGGAAAGACCGAGTATCTCACCATGCAAGAGGTGTTAAAGGGAGCGTACAAGTACCCGTCATCCGCAAACATCTCTGAGTCGGCAAAGGATTTCATCGACAGCCTCTTGACTCGCGATCCGAAGAAGCGTCTGGGATACGAGAATGAGACTTCGATTCGTAACCACCCGTTCTTCGCGGCCGTGGACGACTGGTCGGAGCTGAGATCGCGCGAGGCGCCGCGTGTACTCACCGCCACGGGCGTCGGTTCTGACGCCACCGTCACCGATAGCGAGTGTGACCATGATGATGGTACCGACACCGACGACGAATGGCGCGCGCGCGTTAACGCCGCCGCCGCTGCTTTAGACGCGTTGTAGCATTAATCACTCATAGTATTACACGACGACTACTGTACTTGATCACAACTCTCCGCCTGCAAGCGTTTCGCATTCGCCGTCAGTCCCTCTCCTCCAAACTCCAGCTCTTGCGCGATCTTTCCCTCACACGCGCGCTCGGATGATGAGCCTCATCTATATCGAACAGATTGGCCTCAAGCGTCCGTCGAGGCGTCGCGAAGACGACCTCTTCGGCTCGCGAAATTCGGTTCTAGTAGCTGTGTGTGCATCATCGGCTCGTCCGAGCGCGCGCGTCGTTTCACCATCGTATCCTTCGATACGTTCGAGTTTTATCTCTCGTTTCCGTCGTGTCACTACGACACGAGCGATCTCGCGATTGCGCGCACCGTGAACGTCGAGGACTTTGCCTTTTCGCGAGCGGCAAAGTGGCGGCGGCGGCGCTCCGTCTTATTCCTCGACGCTCGGCATCGACCACGGACGCGCACGACGCGTGCGTTCGAAAGAAGGTTGGAGATTGATTGTGTCGTTGCTTCAAGGCGGAATATTTACGTTCGAGGCGATCGACGACGCGTACGGACGCGCGCGTACGTTTCATTCCAACGCTCGGGAATCCGACCTCGCGATGGACGACGGCGGCGCAGCGTGCGTCGCGGAGTGCCGTGAGCAACCTTTCGACGTCGCGTTCGCGCCGAAGACGCACGTCTTCGCGGTCGGATGCGTCGATGGATCGATCGAGCAGTGGAGTCACACCGATAACTCGTGCACGCGACTGGATAGGAAGACGGGCGCGCACGGAGACGAGGCGGTTCGGTCGCTGTTGTACGCGCAGGGCGGGGACGTGCTGCTAAGCGTTGGGGCGGATCGATGCGTCGTGGCGATGGATGTGGCTACCGGAAGCGTCACGGCGAGGCTGGAAAACGCGCACGCGGCGCCGATCAATCGTTTGATTCAGCTGAACGAAACCGTGGTCGCCACGGGTGACGACGATGGATGCGTGAAGATTTGGGACACGCGCGCGCGCGTGGTGTGCGGAGAGCACAAGCCATTCGTCGATTTCGTGAGCGATATGAAGTTCACGGGGCTGGATACGAACGAGATCGTGATCGCGAGCGGCGATGGGACACTGGGATGTCTGAGCCTAACGGCAAATAAGCTAGTCGGGCAGTGTGACAATTTGGAGGACGAGCTCCTGAGCTGTGAAATCGTCAAGAACGGTCGAAAGGTTGTCGCCGGATCGCAGGAGGGAGTGTTAAACATTTTTTCTTACGGTCAGTGGGAGGACATATCCGATCGCTATCCTGGTCACCCTCAGAGCGTGGACGCCATTGCAAAGGTGACGGAGGACATGATCGTCACTGGCTCGAGCGACGGGTTGATTCGAGTCATCTCCGTGTTTCCGAACAAAATTCTCGGTCTTGTGGGTGAGCACAGCGACATGCCTATCGAACGCCTCACGATGAGTTTCGATAAGGACATGCTCGCCTCCTCTTCGCACGATAAGACGGTCAAGTTATGGAAGGTGGACTGGCTCACGGAGGAAGGCGCGTGGGAGGACCCGGAAGAGATGGAAGACATAGACGCCGAAGATGACGATGATAGCGATGACGACGGGCCCTCGAAGAAACGAAAGGCCAAGGTGAACAGTGGGAAAAAAGCGCGGCAGCAAAAGACTGAGAGCAAGAAGAAAGCCGTGCAGAAATTCTTCGCTGGTATGGATGAATAATGGTTGTAACAAGATGGGAGTGTTAACTTCAACTGATGGGAAAGGCGTTTTTCAGCGAGGAAACGCTCATGCCTCGAGATAAATCGACGCAATATCGAGAACTATCGACCTTGATGCACCGTGTGATCGTCGTTAGCATTCGAGAGAGACCTGGCTGATCGCTTGATGGATAGTGCGTCACTGCTGAGTGCTTTCGACGTATGCTTCCCAGAGGGCGAGGGACCCGCCGAGTTTGGCCTCGCTCTGCCTTCCTTTTCTGACATTGTTTTCCCTCAAGATGATGACGATCAGATGTCCAAGATGGCGATGGAGATATTTGACTTTGATTGCGATTGCGACTGGGGCACAGAGCTGGCAGGCGACGAGGAGACTGTGCCCGAACAGCTCCGGCATCGTCACAGTAAGGACCGCGCAGTGATGATGAAAAAGAAGGCACAAATTGCTCCGAAGGGTAGCAGTCGCTCATCAAAATGGAAGGGCGTGACAAAACACAAGATAACTTCGCGATGGGAGGCGCATCTGTGGGACGCCACCTTCGAGCGACGCAAATCGAGTAAATCTGGACGCCAACGTGGTCGTCAAGTTTACCTTGGTGGATGGCAGTCAGAACTGGATGCTGCCCGCGCGTACGATTTGGCCTCGCTCCGTTACTTTGGAACGAGATCACCGCTGAACTTTCCTCGCGAAAACTACGCCGATGAGCTTAAAATAATGCAAGAATATACGTGTGCTGACTGGGTTGCGGAGATACGGCGGAAGAGCTCTGGCTTCAGCCGTGGCCGCTCTCGGTTCCGAGGCGTGACGTCTCACAAGGGGAAGAACTCGAAAGGCAAGTGGGAAGCTCGCATTGGAAGAGTCATGGGAAATAAGTACTTGTACCTAGGGACTTTTCCATCTGAGCGAGCGGCCGCCGAAGCTTACGATTTGGCGGCTCTTCGCTTTCGCGATTCGAAGGCTGTGACGAACTTTGATCGATCAAACTATTCAGAGGAAGACATCAAAAACGCCGCGAACGATGCGAAGATTGTTTGAAGGTGACTGTGACAGTAGTAGAACGCGATCATTGTCATTGCATTCAATTTATTAAGCGGACGTTCTACGTAATCTTGTACAAGTTCACTAATTTCGTGAACTGCGGCGTTTTCGGCTGGATCTTCTGCCAGAGGATCTTCTAGAAGATCGCCCGGAGGACCCTTCATCCTCGACATCCTTCGCTTCCACGTCGATAATCTGAGTAGGGCCATCATCGAAATCCGCGAATTCGTTAGCAACGACGGAGCTAACTTCTTCAACCTTGGGCGGCGCAGCTCTCACCGGCGGCATCTGCGCACCGCTTCTTCGTTGAGATTTCGGGACGTACTCAACACGCACCGGCTCCGCGCTTGCCGGACTAGAACCCGCACCAGCGCCCGTGGGGACTTCAATAGGTTTCGTGATCTTTCTGAGCACGACCGTTTGCGCGGTAGTGATAATATTGTTGAAGAACCAGTAAAGCGTGAGACCGGCCGGTACGTTGAGAGAGAAGAAACCAATCATGAACGGCAAGAACTTCAAAATGGCCTGGCTTTGTTGCTGAGCCGGATCGTCCGTCTTCGGCTGCGGGCTTATGATAGTCTGAGAAACGAACTGGGATACCACAAGCAAGACCGGGAGCACCAAGTAGCAACCTGTTTCGTACCATCCCAGCGGAGGATGGCCGTCGACGAACGGCCAGAGCCACGCGAAGCCGTTTCCATCATTACGCGCCGCGATGGAAGTCGGACCGCCGAGAGACGGAATCCAATAGAAGCCATCATCGAGCAAGTGCTCGGCAGCGGCGTTCGACAACGCACGGTACAAGCCGATGAACACCGGGAGCGTGGCGAACAAGGGCAAGCAACCAGCAAGAGGGTTGAAGCCAGCCTCTCTGTACAGCCTCGCCTGTTCGAGCTGCAATCGTTCCGGATCGTTCGCATACATCGCCTGAAGTTCCTTGATTCGCGGCTGCATGGCTTGCATTTGAATCGAGCTCTCCACTTGCTGCTTGGACAGCGGGAACGTCGCCAGCTTCACGAGCACCGTCAACAGTAGGATGGAGTATCCGTACGAATACGGAACCTTACCGTCCAACACGCCGTCGATCCCTCTCAGCGCGCCCTCCAACGCGTCCGTGATCGGTCCGAGCCAGCCTCCCTTCTGAATCCCCGCCGCCTTGAGCGCGTCCGCGTCGTCGTAATCTATCTCTAGTCTGCCCGCCTTGTCCGCGGCCAAGTCGAACAGCGGCGAGCTCACGAGCGCGGCGTGCGCGTTCGCCGTCGCGTCCTGCGCGCGAGCAAACATCTCGCTCGCGCCCTCGACCGCGCCGGCGCCCACCGCGACGCTCGCGCGTCGTCCGCGAGCGCGCAGCACGCCGCCGCTCGACGAGGTTCTTCGCGTCCGCGCGCTCGAGCGCGCCGAGGACGCGGACGCGGACGCGGCGGCCACGGCGGCGGCGCGAGCGACGAGCATGGTGAGCGATCGACGCGCGAACGTTCGATCGCGCGCCCGAGCGACGACGAGTGCGGCGGACGACGACGCCGTCGGACGCGATCGACGGAAGGGTGCGTCGAGACGGCTGAGACGTCATCATGTGGATTTCAGGGGTCGTGACTCGTGAAGGAGTCCCCGGATCACGGTTTTTCCGTCGGCCAATCCTGGGACGATGGCGTGAAAAAGTGAACGATTTCAGCCGACGGCGACATCCGCGAAGGAGGCGACGGTACAGTTTCGATATTACATATAACGACATGGCGCGCGATGCGAGAGCAGGGAAAATTGGAGCTCGTCGTAACGGACTCAGTAGGCCATAGAGGTCGCGGCGACGACGGCGACGAAGAGAACGCCGAACGGCTGCGACGTGGCGCTCGACGTCGACGGAGGCGTCGACGGAGGCGTCGACGGAGGCGTCGTGCTCGCCGCGATGACTTGCGCGATCGTTTTCGTGCACGCATTCACGCCGTACGGCGATGGGCAAGACCAGGACGAGACATTGTACGATGTCACCGGTGGCGAAGCAGCCGCGTGCGCAATGGCTGGGAGCTCCACTGGGGTCGCCGCGTAGTTCTGTCCGTTGGCATCAAAGCACGGACAGTCTCGCCTGTACGTGTACGTCGTACTTCCCCACGTTTCTGTGGTCGGATTCGTGTTGCACTCAGGGTACAGTGCCATGCATTGCGCGATGGTGACGAGGCCGCCCGCAGAGTTGGGACCGTGGCATCCGAGCGTGAAGGGTGCCTGCATCTGCACGTGATAGTGGTATACGCTCGCCGACGGTGACTCGGGCGTGAATCCGAAGTGTCCACCGCACGCATCGAGGTACGGATACTGTTGGGCCGTGTAATCTTCGTACTTCCCGTATACGTTCCAGTTCCCGGCGACGCCCAACTTACTCGAGTGCGTCCCGCTGTTCGTTTCGAAACACTCAAAGCCCATATGGAAGTGGTAATTCCCCGTGTGTCCGCCGCACTGCCCGAGCAATCCTATCCAAGTCGTGCCACTGATTCTCGGAAGCGTCACCCCGCACACGCTCGCGAGCTTGGCGTGTTCATATCCCAAATCTAAACCGCCCGCTGAGTCGTAGGCCAAGCTCGTGGGCGAGCAACCCCAGGTTGCTATGATGCCGTCTTGTTGACTTCCGAACCCCGCATCGAACGGCCCGTAGATGTGCGCGTTCGTCGCGATCGTCCCACCCGCGGTTTCGCTCTGTTCATGCGAATACGCGAGCGTTCCACCGGCCACGGTCGTGCATCCAACGTCACCTCTCAAATTCGCCGCAGCCGGCGGGGTCGACACCGTCGGATTCGTGCACGCGGCGTTGGGCGGCTGGGCGTTCACGAGATTAGTGAGCACGGCGACCATGCCGAGGAGGACGCGCGTCATTCGCATCGCGTGGTCCATCGCGCGCGTCACGGTGTCAGAAGGGCGAACGGTCGGAACAAGGGTCGTTAGGAATGAACGGCCGGCACCCGGGTGGGGGAAATTTTACCCGCAAGATGCAAGTGCAAAATTACAGGTGCACATTGCGGGTGTTTCGGGGCGTCTTGCGCAAGTCCCCCACCCCTAGGTCGGCGCCAACTCGCGGAATTTTCCAGTCGTGATCGCGCCCAGCGTGGCGCCGCCCTGTGATTATGACAAGTCGTCTTCTATTACGCGCGCCCGGGCGCTCGTTGGTTTTGATACACGTGGAGGTCGATCGCGCGAATTAATCTAATCGATGGCTTCGGAGACGAGCTGGGCCTGTTCTTGGGCGTGCACCGCGGCGTAACCGGTGGCTGGAGACGCCGCGGGCTTACGTCCGGCGTAACGCGTTCTGCCGGGACGCTCGAGATGGTCGAACAAGGTGCTCATTCTGGCCTGAACGTGAGTCCAAGCGCCCATGTTCATCGGTTCCTCCTGGCACCAAACGACCTCGGCGTTGGGATAGCGCTTGAGCTCGCGCTGAACGAGATCCCAAGGGAACGGAGCGAGCTGTTCTATTCGGCAGATTTTCACCTTGTCCAGTTTGCTCGCTTTGTCTCTGGCGTCGTCAAGATCGTAGTAAACCTTCCCAGAGCAGAAGATGACGCGATCAACCTCAGGTTGAGGGGGTGGATCCAAAGAGCGCGAAGTTGACGTCTTATCCATGATGAGTCGCTTGAAGCGAATGCCTTGGAGAGAGTCATTTTCATCGCTGTTATCGAACTCGTTGAGCTTCGAAACAGCCTTCGGATGGCGCAGCAGATTCTTCGGGCTCATGACGACGAGCGGTTTACGGAACTCACGATGAACCTGACGCCGAAGCATGTGGAAGTAATTCGCAGGAGTCGTAACGTTGCAGATTTGCCAGTTGCACTCTTGCAGCTGCGTACGCTTTTCCATCGACATCTCCGGAATGCGCGTTGGATCCTCATCCGTCATCTGTAAGAAACGCTCTAAACGAGCACTGCTATGCTCGGGACCTTGTCCATCATAACCATGAGGAAGAAGCATGACGAGACCACTTTGTCTCAACCACTTCGCTTCCCCAGAGCTAATAAATTGATCGATAATGACTTGTGCCGTGTTCGCAAAGTCACCGAATTGCGCCTCCCACAAGATCAAAGCGTTGGGATGCTCCAGCGAGTAACCGAGTTCAAAGCCGAGAACGCCGTACTCAGAAAGTGACGAGTTGCACACGGTAAAGAAGTCTCGACCCCGACCCATGTTTCCACTGTACACATTACGCAGAGGGATGAAGCGTTCGCCGGTGATTTGATCGTGGAGCAGAGCGTGGCGATGAGAGAAGGTGCCGCGTTCGACATCCTGTCCAGATAAGCGAACATGATTACCATCATCGAGCAATGACGCAAACGCCAATGCTTCACCCATAGCCCAGTCAAGTCCCTCACCGTTATCGATCATCGCGCGTCGGGCCTCGTACACACGTTTAACGACGCGATGTGGCGTGAATCCCGCGGGGATTGTTGTGATGAGATTGCCAAGGTTTTTCAGGTGCTCTGGCGGCAAACCAGTGTCTCTGATGCGGGACAGTTGGTCGGGGCTCTTAAAACCTTGCCAGTGGGAAGAGAGCCAATCTCGCTGCTTGGGTACGTAATCCTTCGACGAGTTGAATTCTTCCTCCATCTTCGAGTTGATTCTGTTTCTCATCTCCATGACTTCCTCCGGAGTGACGGTGCCGTCATCAATGAGCTTGTTGCTGTACTGCGTCAACGCACTTGGATGTTTCTGAATGACCTTGTACATCAGAGGTTGCGTGAACATGGGTTCGTCGATCTCATTGTGCCCATATTTGCGATAGCACACGATATCGACGACAGCGTCGGTCTTCCACTTCATTCTCCATTCCGTGGCAAGTTCCATAACCCAAGCGACGGCCTCAACGTCGTCGCCATTCACATGGAAAATAGGAACTTCCATACCCTTCGCGACGTCAGTGCAATAAGGACTCGACCGCGAATATTTCGGATCAGTCGTGAACGCGACTTGATTGTTCACCACGATGTGTAAAGTCCCACCAACTTGGTACTCTGGAAGTTTACTCATGTCGAGCGTTTCGTAAACTATTCCTTGACCGCTGAACGCACCGTCGCCGTGCAGCAAGACGGCCATAGAACGCTCACCTTTCGGATCCTTTGTGTAAAACTGTTTGGCACGCGTTTTTCCCGTGACAACGGTGTTCACCGCCTCGAGGTGCGAGGGGTTTGCAACGACCGAAAGGTGGATTTGTCCTCCACGTAATGTGGGACGGTCAAACGAAGTTCCGAGGTGATACTTTACGTCGCCTGATCCGGTGTACGACGAGCCCGCGTTCCCCAACTCTTCCACCAATTTAGGTCCACCTTTAAACTCATTGAAAATGGTTTGAAGAGGTTTACGCACGACGTTCGCGAGCACATTCAAGCGACCACGATGCGGCATGCCGATGGTGATGTTTTCGACTCCCATCTCTGCCGCCTTATCAATCGCTTCCTTGAATCCGGGCACGAGACTTTCGCACCCCTCTAAGCCGAATCTCTTTGCCGCGCTATACTTGTTCGATAAGAAGTTCTCGAAGAGTTCGCTCCAGGACAAGCGATCGAGAATGATACGTTTGCGTTCTGTTGAGTATTGCTTTTTACGCTCCGTCTCAATCTTTGAACGCAGCCAGTTGCACTGGTCGCGGTCTTGGATGTGCATGTACTCGTAGCCGATCGTCCCGCAGTATGTGTCCTGGAGGCGGGTCAAAATTTGTCGTAGGCTCTGCACAGGGCGATCTTCACTGAGGAAACCTTGCATCTTCCAAGTGCCGATGAAGAACTCGCGGTCCATGTCGTCCTCACTGAAACCGTACAAAGCGGGCTCAAGGTAAATGATCCCCTCGCGCTTGTCCAATCCCAACGGATCGAGCCGCGCTGCGGCGTGACCGCTCGTTTGGTACGCGCGAATCAACAGCATGAGCCGCATGGACTCTTGAATCGTCTGCGCGTCCAACGGCCGCCCGACCGCGTGCGGCGCCGTCCCCGTGAGCGCCGCGTTGTGCATATCCGAGATCTCCGCCCCTGTCACCCCGGAGTCCATCTGTCTCAGCAACATCGCCCACGATTCCGGCACGCTCTTCGGGTCTCGCCTGAAATCATCCTCCATCGCCTCCAAGTACGCCGCGCTCGTGGCGTTCAAAAACTCGTCCCGCATCTCTCTCACCGGCGTCGGTTTCGGCGCCGCCGTGCTCGACATCGTCGCCTTTTCCCGCGCGTGCGCCGTCTGGACCGCCAACGATCTCTCCACCGTCGCCCGAGCGCGCTTCAACGACGGAAAAGCTCCAGAACCGACGCTCTTCGTGGCAAATTCTCTTTCGATGGGCCAATCGCGCCCGATCGTCCCCACCGTGCTCGCTCGCGACGCGCCGTCTCTCGCGACGGCGACGAGGGCGCGCGGGTGACGCGCGAGCGCGCACAGGCGTCGACGCGCGATCGCGAGCGTCATCGTCGAGCGAGCGTGGACGCGCGCGCGCGTGTGCGGAACGAATATTCGCGAGTCTGACCGGTTGAGCGAAACGGTTGTTGGCAACAACTCATTGCCCCGCCGACGGCGGTTGGATCGATGTTGAATGAATAAATACCGAGGAGACGCGGATGAAATTTAAGGTTACTTTTTGGCGAAGAGGCCTTGGTAGAGGTAGACGGCGACGATCGCGCCGGAGACGACGAGGGCACCGTAGTAGTTTGGAAGACCGCCGCTCGCGGATTCGAGCGTTTGCTCAGCCGGGGCGAGGGAGGAGAGGACGGTGAAAGTGTAGATGGTCATCCAGTCGACGAGCGCGATGGCGACGGCGATACTGAGGTTGAGCTTCTTGAACGTACCGCCGCCGAGACGACCGCGACTCGCAGCGTCTACCAAGACGTACTGCGTCGGCGCCAATAAGAAACACGTCGCCAAGCCGAACGCGCGCTGAATCAACTGCGCCGACGGCGCTGTCTCGTTCATGATCGCCAGAGGCGAGAGAGGGCTGAAGGCGAAGGAACCACCCACAATGAGGCTGCTCCAAAAGCTCGCCTTATAAAAGAGTTCCAGTTTACCGCCCTTCTCGCTGTTTTTGCCGAGCTGCTTCACGCTATCGAAATCCTTCCCTATGCGCTCCCAAGTTGCGTTGTGCCCGGGACCAAACTCTTTGATCGCCTTGTACCCACTGTAACCCGCCGGCGTCAACGACGCAACCACCGCACCGACCGCCACTGCGCTCGGACCGACCTCTCCCGTCGCTACCGCCTGCGCGAAAGCACCACCAAACGCCACCATCAGACTTCCCGAATACAGCACCATCGCCAGCGCCAACCTCTGATACGTCTCAGACTTCAACCTATCGTTCTCCGCCGCGTCCTTTAAAGTGTACAACCCGGCGAGGGCGACTAAAGCAAACGCCTCCGTTCCGAATGCGTTCGCAAAATGCTGCACCTGCGACGCGTTCTCGAAGTTTTCGCCGAACGCGGGCGACGCGCACGTCAACCCGAGACCGTCGCGCACGAGCTTGCACGGATCGATCAGCGTCGCGATCGCGGGCGCGCCCAAGAAGAACCCCGCGAGGGCGAACGCATCGCCCTTTGATTCCGACGACGACGGCTCGTTCGACGACGCCGAGCGCGAGATGCGTCGATGAGACGATGAGACACCGCTCTCCGTCCGTGTCCCCCAGTGTTTCATCTTCTTGGAGCCGAAAACATCACGACTTTGAGAGACGCTGTGATGGAAATAATCAGTCCGACGCCGCGCGACGCACGATGACGCACACGCGCGCGTTGACGTCCAGCAGGGCGTCATGACGGCGACCGAACGCGCGTCACGGACTCCCGTGCGATGGAGTAATCATTTTCCTTCCTCGTGGGTGACAGTGAGCCTCTTCCCGCACACCGCATCGCCGACATGTGCGATTACGCCTCATCGACGCAGCGCGAGCACTGGCTCCATGAATCCGTCGCCCAGGTCGACGCGAGACGCGCGCGCGCGCGCGTGGAGACGTTCGAGCGCGCGAAAGCATCGAGCGAGTCGTCAACCTCAGCCATGGAAACCGAAGCGCTGACGCCCGAAGAGGAGCGAACGATCGTGAGGTACCACGAGGCGAAGATACAATCCGTCTGCGGCGCGTTTGCGCTGCCGAGAAAGGTGAAGAACACGGCGGTGATGCTGTTCAAGCGCTTCGCGGTGGATTGCGGGACGCACGCGCAATCGCTGAAGATCATGATGCTGACGAGCGTGTACGTAGCGTGTAAGGTGGAGGAGAGCTACATCTCGGCGGAGGAGTTCTGTAAGGGCGTGAGAGAGGACCCGTCGCGAGTGTTAGCGGCGGAGGTGACGTTTCTATCTGGATTGAAGTTTCGGTTGGTGTGCTACGGAGCGACGCGGCCGCTGGACGGGTTCCTGATGGACGTCGAGGACGGTGGGTGCAAGGGAGCGACGTCGAAACAGCTCATCGAGTGCAGAAAGAAAGCGTTAGATATCGTCGATCGGTTGATGCTGACGGACGCGCCGCTGATTCGACCGCCGGGGCAGATCGCGCTGTGCGCGCTTCGTCGGGCCGCGCGCGAATGCGGGGCGAGTGAACTCGAAAAGTATTGCGAAGACGTCGGCGCGCGAGGGACGACCAAGGCGCCGCGCGGAGCGAAACTCAAGGAAATCTTAGACGATATCGAATCGCACGTCGACGAGGGCGTTGAACCCGACGCGGCTGTCGTGAAGGAGATTGACAAAAAGCTCAAACTCTGGCGTGCCAAATATCTGGCTAAGACGCCGGCAGCGGACGACGCTGGCGATGCGCAGAAAGCTGCGAAACGTCGAAAGAGCGAACAATCTAGACAAGACATGATCGCCGCCGAGGAGGACGCGCTCGGATAAATGGCATCCTTGTATGTAACACACGATCGAACCGCGATATCGACCCGACCTCGCGCGCGCAAAGACCTCACAGTTCCGCGCGCTGTTCCCTGCGCGCGCGGAACCGTCGTTCGCGCGCGCGAGCGCCTCGCATCGCGCGCCTCGCATCGCGCGCAACGTCGCGCGTCGTGTGTGCGTCAGGTCCGTCCGCTCGTCGTCGCGTTTCGAAAGCTCGTCGCGCCGCCACTGGCGAAACGCTTCGTCACGACAACTCGCGAGTTTACCCCCGCCCTGGCGCTCACATCGCCTCCGGCGGTCCTCAACACCTCGCTACAATAAAGATGGACTTTTTAGGACACCTCCGAGAAACACTTCGGAGCCTTTCCCCGTTAAACACCGGGTCGGCGACGTCTCACGCCTGCGCGTTGTGCCAAGGGGCTACAATTCACAATCATCGACCGTCGACGATGACGAGATCGACGCGGACGGAATGACCCGTCGGTTTATTGCTTCCAAAATCAACTCGAAACGATCGACTGACGACGCGTCGATGTGCGCACTTTTTGCAGGCGACGATAATGAAAGCGAGCGCGATTCGTTTTCCCTTGTAACTCTAAAACACTGTACTACGATCGAGGCGACTGCGACGCGCTCGATGATCTAAATCCTACGAACCCACTGGTATGAGCACCGCGGCGACGCTCCGTCCCTCCTCCACGAGGACGTTGAACGTGCTCGTCGCGCGCGACGTATCGCTCACGTCCGCTGCGACGCCGAGCTCTCTGAGATACTCCAACACCTCCTCGCTCAGCGGTTGCACCACGCGACCGGTCCCGACGATGAGTAAATCCGGGACGGGATCCAATATCTCGAGCGCCGCGAGCGACGCTCTCGTGATCGCGCTCGCGGCGCGCGGTCTCCACGCCGCGTGCGCCTTTTCGTACGCGAACAGCGAACCCTCGCAGTACGCGCCATTGATGACGAATCCGCGATCGTCGTACCTGCGAGAAGAGACCGAACCGTCAGTGACGTCGTGGACGAGAGGACGCGGCGCACACGCACGAATCGATGATCAAGCGGCCCTCAGGACCTTGGAGGAGCTCGAAAGTGTTCGGGTCGCTGAGCACGCCATAAGCCCGATAGCGCGCGATAACGGAGGCGACGGACGAGGAAGACGTCGATGCACGCGCGGTGGAGCCGCGTGCGAGTCGCAGCGCGACCGCGGCGAGCATGGGTGAGTCGACGAGTGTGGTGAGAGCGCTGCGACGGTTGGTATTACAAGTGGTGATTACTTTGTGAGCATCTCTTCAATCTCTTCGAGAGTCTTACCTCTGGTCTCGACGACGGTGAAGTAAATGGATACCACGGCGAGGACACCGACGGAGGCAAAGCCGAGGTAAGTGCCCCGTAAACCGATGGTCTCTTCCACCGTTGGTAGGAATAGAGACACCAAGAAGTTGCTTCCGAAGTTGCTCAGGGTAGCCAGACCGACGGCGGCCGAGCGAACCTTGGCTGGAAACACTTCGCCCACGAGTAACCACGCGATTGGACCGAAGCTGAGCTGATACGCTCCGACGTAGAGGAAAATGACGGCGAGCGAAGCTTGCGCTTGCGCCACCGTTTGCGCCTCTCCTGGAGCGTTCAACGCGGCCAAAGCGAACAAGCACACGGTGACGACGCTCACGCCGCCCAAGAGAAGCGGACGACGTCCTAAACTATCGACCTTCGAAACGGCGATGGCCGTCATGAAGAGTTTCCAAACGCCTAGAATGACTGAAACGTTCGCTGCATCCTCCGCACTCCACCCAGCGGCTTCAAACGTTTGGTTGGCGTAGTAAAGAACGCTCGGTTGCCCGGTAAACTGTTGAAACAACACCACAGATAATCCAATGTACAGCGGTCGCAGATATCGCTTCTCAAACAGGTGAATCATCCCCGAACCACCCTCTGTCGCATTCATCGTTTCGGCAGCTTGGAAAATGTCCTCCAGCTCCTTTTCAACCCTGGCCATGTCCGCGTCACTTTGTGCGCCTCTAACCTTGACCAACGCGTCTCGCGTCTTGCTTCGAGTCTCTGGGGTGTCACCAGCCTTGGCGATCCAACGCGGTGAATCTGGGAGCACCGCTAAGGTGCCCGCGAGAAGCAAGGCGATTACGGGTGTCGATTCCAAAAACAACTGCCTCCATCCGCCGTCCGCGGTCATCACGCCCTCGCTCGCCAAGTATCCGATGAGAATCCCGCCAACGATGAAGCCTTCCTTGAGCGAGATCAAACTACCGCGCAATGCGCTCGGCGCGGTCTCCGCAATGTACACTGGCGCGCTCTGCATTGCGAAACCGACGCCCAATCCGTACACGAGCTTTGAGAAAACCAAAAGCTCGAACCCGTTCGCCGCGCTCCCAGAGACGCTCCCTATCAAGTAAAGCATCGCCGCCAGCGCTAACTCCCTCCTCGCGCCCAAGCGATCACCAATCCCAGCGCCCGCCACTGCGCTCGCCATGAGCGCGCCGAAAAGCGACGCGCTCACAAACTGTCCCGACTGAATGCTATTCAGCGCGAACCCATCCCCACCATTCGCCGCGCTTGTGGTGATGTTCTCCAACGCGCCCGAAGATATCCCGATGTCCCATCCGAACAACCCACCAGCGATCGCCGGGAACATGAAGTTCCGCGCCACCGCGCTCGGCGGCTCTGAGCCCCCGTCGCCTTCGCCGTCGTCCACCGACTTGCGCTTCTCTTCGTCCCTCGACGACACGACGGACGTGCGCGTCGGGGCATCGTCATCCATCACCACTGCTCGCGCCCGAGCGTGACGTCGCGTCGACGACGACGCGAGCGCGAGAGATGCGGGTGTTTTCGCTCGACGCGTCGACGTTCGCGCGCTCGTTCGCGCGTCGCCGCTTCGCGCTCGCGAGACGCTCGAGAGCGCGGGCGCGGTGAGGAACACGGCCGAGGTCATCGTTTTCGCGGTCTATCGACGCGCGTCGAAGTGAAACGTCCGGGGGGGGTGAACGAGACGAGGCGAGAGAGGAAAAGCGTTTTCGGCTGTTATTAAAACACTGAGCGCGCAGAAAAGTACACGTCTAGGGCGTCGCGTCACCGAGATCAGGCGGCGACGTCTTCAATTTTACCGTCGAAGTCCTCGACCTCAGTTGGTTTCTCGGTGGACGGTAGGGCGGCCTCGACGGCGGCCTCAACGAGCGCGGCAGGCGAGTCGCCGGAGACGTCGATCTGCAAGACGTGCGTCTCGGTCTCGGTCTTCGTTGGTTCGGCGACGACGCTCAGAATGCCGTTGGCGCACGCCGCTCGAATCGTGCTATGGTCCACATTTCGTGAGACGGAAGTGGAGAGCGCGGCACGACCGTTCGAGGTCTTGACCTCGACGTGTAACATGCGGTCGGCTGTGAGCCTGCACGAGACGTTGTCGGCGGACACGCCAGGGACGTGGCGGCGAACGAGCGTGACGGCTGACTCACTCGTCGTCATGTCGCTCTCCAAGCTGGAGACAGCGATGTCCATCGGATCTATCGCGTGTGGATCTTGCATGGTGATCTTGAGCAGGCCGTGGGCCACGGAGGCGGAGATGTGACTCAGCTCGATGTCCGCCGGAAGGTTCTTGAACGTCTTCTTAAACTTGCCGAAATTCTTGGAATCGCCCTCGACGACCAAGCTGTCCTCTGGTCGTTCCAACGTCACAGAAATGTCCGCTGCGCCGAAGCCTGGGACGCTGAGAGTAATGGTGCTGCCTTCATCGTCCGTCTCCATGCCTTCGTCCGGTGTCGAGCTGATGGGCACCCGGAGCGTCTCCGCCGTTCTCTTCAAGACGGCAACTCTCAGCACGCCGTCGATGCACGACGCCTTGGGCGCCACCGTGATGTCGATGTACTTGGTCGGTAAACCGAGCTCAAGCGGCGAAGAACTGCCCTCGACATCGATGCGAAGCTTTGCGTGGCCTCGCTTTGTCGTCACCGACGCCTTGACGTCGCCCGCTCGGACGCCCGGCGCGTGCGCCGTGATCAGAAATCCTCGGCTCGTCTCCTCGATCCTCGGACGTCCAATCTCCTTCGTCCTCGATCGTTCATTTTCGTTCAAGCGCCTCATCGCTCGCGCACGCTCCCCCGCGTTCGCGAACGCGAAGTCATCGTCGAACAGCGCATCCACGAGCGCCATCGGGCTCGCGGTGTACATCGTCGGTCCTCGCATCATCATACCGAGCATCTCGTCCGTGGTCTCTCGTAAGAGTGAAGTAGTTTTTTTGTTGTTTGTTTCACGCGCCGTCTGTCGCGCGCGAGTGTGTCTTGCGTCGTGTTGTGACGACCGCGCGCTCGGGATCGACTTGAAATACGCTCGAGAAGGACGTTTCGACTTCCGTCTCGACACCATCGATTCGAGTCCCTCTGCGCGAGTCACGACTCAAGAAAAACGGTAAATATGGAAGTTCATCGATGGTTGCGTCTCGAAACGTCCACGGGCGTGCCCGCTGAATTCCGCGGCCTCGGCACCCCCTGGCGTCGGTCGACGCGCGACGATGCTTCGCGGACGGGCGACGCGAGCGCTGCGGTCCACCGCGACGTACGCGTCGGTTCGCGCGTCGATCGGGAGCGAGGGAGCGACGGATGCGGGCGCGAACGCGGTGCGCACGCTCCACAGGGGCCTCTCGTCGACGTCGACGACGATGCGGGCGAACGCGGCGACGGAGCGCGAGCGCGCGAGCGCGGTGGGGCTGGGGGAGTTTGAGATGAAAGGGGTGACGCTGCGCGGGAGGCCGCTGTACCTGGACATGCAGGCGACGACGCCGCTCGACCCGAGAGTCCTGGACGCCATGATGCCCTACATGACGGAGCAGTACGGGAACCCGCACTCGCGAACGCACATGTATGGATGGGAGACGGAAGACGCGATCGAACGGGCGAGAAAGGAAGTGGCGGATCTCATCGGTGCAGACGCGAAGGAGATCGTGTTCACGAGCGGGGCGACGGAGTCGAACAACGCGTCGCTGAAGGGGGTGGCGCACTTTTACAAGGATAAAAAGAGACACATCATCACAACCACGACCGAGCACAAGTGCGTGTTGGACTCGTGCCGGCAGCTCGAGCGCGAGGGATTCGATGTTACGTATCTCCCGGTGAAAGCGAACGGATTGATCGATATGAAGGAGCTCGAGGCGGCGATGAGGGAGGACACCGTGGTTGTCTCCATCATGGCGGTGAACAATGAAATTGGGGTGATTCAGCCGCTAAAGGAGATTGGCGCGCTGTGCAGATCGAAGAAGATCTTCTTTCACACCGACGGGGCGCAGGCTTTGGGGAAGATTCCCATGGATGTGAACGAGTTGAATATCGATTTGATGTCGATTAGTGGACACAAGTTTTACGGCCCCAAGGGCATCGGCGCGCTGTACGTCCGTCGCCGTCCGCGCGTTCGTTTAGAGCCGATCATCAACGGTGGCGGCCAAGAGCGAGGTCTACGTTCTGGCACACTCCCGACGCCCCTGATCGTCGGCATTGGCGAGGCAGCTCGCGTGGCGAAGGAGGAGTTGCATCGCGATGAGGTGCACGTCAAGCGATTGTCCGATCGTTTGATCAACGGACTCCAATCGCGTTTAGAGCACACGCAGATTAACGGCGATCTCGAAGCGCGTTACCACGGTAACGTCAATATGTCGTTTGCCTACGTCGAGGGCGAGTCGATGTTGATGGGCCTGAAGGAGATCGCCGTGAGTAGCGGGAGCGCATGCACGAGCGCTTCTTTGGAGCCATCGTACGTGCTTCGCGCGCTCGGCGTGAACGAGGAGATGGCACACACTTCGATAAGATACGGTATTGGCCGATTCACCACCGAGGCTGAAGTGGATCGCGCCATCGAGGCGACTGTGAGGCAAGTTGAAAAGCTTCGCGAAATGTCGCCACTTTGGGAGATGGTTCAAGAAGGGATCGACCTCAAGACAATCGAGTGGGCCCAGCACTAAATCAATGCAAGCGCTCATGTACGCTCACCGCGCGCGCGTTTAGAACAACTATATCGTCATAGGAGTGGGTTACGGGGCGAGCTAGAGTCACAGTTTCCAATTCAACAGCAAAAATCAAACTTTAAGTTCCATTACCGCTTATAATACTCGAGCCGCGACTAGTATTAATGTATTAAGCCGAAGACAGCGCCACCTTCTTCCTGTTTGCGTCACCCTTGGACGCGTTTGTGGCGGCGAATGCCTTTGCAACCTTCTTCTTCAACGGCATTGCGGGCTCATCGTTCCACTCTTTTCTCTTGCGCGGTGATGGTTTACCCATGATGGTATCCGGAGCCTGGTAGCCGGGCGAATGAACGTCCAACTCCTCGCTCGTCGTCGCCAGCTCGATCCGAATCTCCGTCGCCTTGGCGCCCTTCACCTTCACCGGAGCGTACGTCGTGCACTGATGGATCCCGGTGAGCGAAGACTTCACGAGCTCCGCCACCGCCACTGTCTTGCTCACCTGCGTCCCGATGCCTCTCACGACCACGACCGTCCTCGCCCCACTCGACAGCGCTTTCAGCGCCTCGTTCGCGCACTCTTGCACGTCTCCGGCATTCCCGACGTCCACCGTCTTGGAAATCCGCGTCTTAGCACTCGCGCGCTTCGCGTTCGCCATCTCTCGTGAGCAATACACACGCTCTTTTTATCCGACTGAGTCGCGTAAACTTCGCTCGAGCGCCCGTGCGCGTCGTACCGAGCGCGCGAACGGTTCACCTTTTAAAACCCACCAAGCTCGATCGTCGCTCAGTGCGTTCGCTGCACGTCGTCGCTCAATTCACGCGCGTGCGATTTAGACGGTAGAGATTCGTCACCGACTCGACGCGTCCCCCGAGGCGCCGCCGCGCGCCGACGGCGACGCTAGGTGAGGCGAATGTGAAAGAATTCTCAAAGATAACTGACTGGACAAATATCTTTCAAGGGCACACGAAAACCATTGACTTTTTGGATGTTTGTGTATATCTCGGGACTATTCGCGAGCGGAGCGGGATGAATCACGAGCTATGAACGCTAATCGATGACAATTCTATTTCTTTTTTCGAGCGACGTGTGCGGTGAGGAAGAGAGCACGTCGAAGGAGGCCGATTCGCTCGGCGGGTTTGGAGGCGCTTAGGCGCTCGCCGACTTCGTCGAGGTGGTCAAGGGATAGATGTGGGAATCGCTCAAAGGCGAGCTCGAAGTCCACATCATCGGCAGTGATCTCACGAAGACGCTCGAACGCGAGTGCCGGAGCAATGAGAATCGTGGCTCGATCAACGCAGGAGTCTATATCAACAGAGCACTCGCCGGCGTCCGTGGAGGACAAAAGCTCTCGCATGTCCTCAACGCTCGCTCCCGCGACGTCCGTGATGGTGATGCGATCGTGCCCGAGTTCTTGCGCTAAAACTGAGCGCGGGGGCATATAAGTCTTCCAAAATATAGCGTTCGCTCTCGGAGAGCCGTTGAACGTATCGATATTTGCCAAGGCTTGTGTAGCTGGGACCACGCCGCCTTGGTGAAGAATCCCAAACAGGCACGTCAGAATCGCGTTGAACGCGATCCAGAGCGCGAAAAAACCTCGTCGACAACGCGATCCCAATTTCTCTGTGGGGTGTAACGCTGCCAAGACGCACATGGGGAAAGTCATAGGCGTAAGAAATCTCGGCTCTTGGTGCGGCGCGAATGAGAGCGCCAACAGAGGAACTAAAACGCTCGCCTGAAGCGCGTGCACGAGCAAGGCGTCCCGCGGGCTCGACGGTGACGCTTTACGTTGCGACACGAATAGCGTGTCTCTGAAGAAACTAAACCAAAGTGGGCCGAACATGATTGGTCCATTGACCACGGCGTGCAAATATCTAGGATGCAGCCCGTGAAGCGCCAAATTCTCCGCTCGAGCGTTGTACGAGAACGAATTCCAAGGCGTCACGATCCAATTCTTCGGGTTCCACGCGAATGCATCCGTCACGTGAACTCCCCTGAAGTAAGCAGTGTCAGCGACGACGCATGCCACCGCGACGACGCACGCCGCCGAGACACCGCTCAGCGCTCCCGCCACTGCGTTACCCAACGACTTCTCCCTCGCCCGCATCACTGCGAACACCGCCCAGGGCGCGATGTACACCGCGCTCGTGAATCGAACAAACACCCCCACGCACCCTATTGCCCCTATCGCCGCGCATCGAGCGACGTCGCTCCCTCTCCCGCCAACTCTGTGGGTTGCGACGAGCGCGCACACCGCCATCGCAAATGTCTCCACAGAGTTACTAAACGGTCGCACTAAGATCACGAGCACGACCCACGAAGTGATAAACATCATCCAAGCCTCCCTCGCGTTCGCCCCGATCGCTCGCGCGCACGAAATCACCGCCGCGTCAGTTGTCCAAGAAGCCGCGCATGCAAACACTCTTGGAGCCGCCACAGCGACCGCGCTCGCGCTCAATCCGAGCGCCCTCGACGCAGCGTACGGGATCCCACTCGTCAACCACACCCCGATGATCGATCGCGCAGGCGCTTCCGAGCGAAACTCCCACGGAACGTTCGCGGAGACGTTGAACACGTCGCGAGCGGCGATTTCGTTAGACTGATGATACTCGTCGGGGTGCACATACCCGTACGTCGCGAGCGCGCACGCGAAGCGAAGTGCGACGGCGGAGAGGAAAAGTATAATGTTGAACGCGTCGTCCATCGCGACGACGGTCGAGACCGACGCCGCGACGAGGACTGTGGGTCGACGTGCGCTTTTGCATGGCTCTCCATCTACTCGTCCCAGTCGGTCGCCGGGACGCTTGGCTAATACCTACTCTCACGCTCGGTGGTCGAAGCCGTAATCCAACCCGCGACGCTCGTCGACGATCATGGAGTTACCCGCGATGATCCTGCCGTGTCGCTCCTTGGCGCGAGCGACGTAGACGTCGTAGCCGTCGATGTACTCGACGTTTCGCAGGCTCGTGCCGTGGGCGGAGAGCTTCGAGAGCGACTCGCACGATTTAAACACCTCGCTCGGGATCGTGTGCACGCCGAGATTATCGTCCACGTTCAAAGCGCGAAGTCGTTTCAATCGACCCAACGCCGCGGGCAAGACGGTGAGTGCGCACGCGCTCGCGTCGATCTCCTCCAGGCGCTCGCATTCGGCGAGCGCGTCCAACGCGCTCGAGCGCAAACCTTTATTCCTAGCTATTCGCACTGTCGTCAGCGCCGCGCATCGCGATACCGATGTCGGTAGCGTTTCCAACTCGCAATCACACGCGCTCAGCGTCACCAGCGCTCGCAGGTCGCCGATCGAGCTCGGGAACTCGCGCAGACGGTTCCCGTCCAACGTCAACGTCTTGAGCCTCGTCAGCGTCCCGATCGTCTCCGGAAGCGACTCGATCTCGTTCGATGCCAAGACCAATCGTGTGATGCCGCACCATAACGAGATCTCTCTCGGGATCGTCGTCAGACGGTTGTTCGTCGCGTCGACGTTGCGCACGCGCTCGGGCAGGTCGCTCTCTTGGGAGAATAACTTCTTGGGGAGCTCACGAAGATTTTGGTCCCGCAGAGCGACAATCCCGGTGGTTCTCCAGCTATGTTCGCGGGAAGAAGACGATGGTTTCGAGGACGACCGTCCGTGCGCGTCGGTGGCGGAGGCGGCGGATTGGACGCAACCCATGAACGATGATGATTTGCGTTCTGAGGACGGCGCAGTGGAGTCGAATGGCTATGAATGCGTTCGCGATTTGGATGACAACGGCTCGCTAAGGATGAAAAGGAATTCAAAGGAAAGCGGTTGACCTGATGCGGAGAGATGATCATTCATCATGACTTATGTGCCGTCTTTTTCTTCCCTTTCCACTTTTTTGGAAGCGGCGGTGCCACGTCGTCTCCCGTCTTCGCGGGCACCGGCTTTTTGCGCTTCTTCTTGTCACCCATGTACACCTTGGGGTCGGCACCCATCGGTAAATCGAGCGGAGCGCGCCTGGGGTTATCCTCCTTGCCGTCCTTACGCTTACGGCGACGCATGCCTTTCTCCCCCGTATGCGCAAGCATCCACTCCGGCACGTCGCATCCGCTGTTCTTCATCACGTTCGCGATCGGTCTCAGATCTCCTCTCTGCGCGTCTTCCTCGGTGAAGAACGTAATCGCCGCACCCGGTCTCCCCGCTCGTCCACTTCGGCCGATGCGATGGATGTAACTCGTGGGAGATCCTGGAAAGTCAAAGTTTATGACAGTGGAGACACCGACGAAATCCATACCTCGCGCTAAGAGATCCGTCGCTATGAGAACCCACGTTTCGCCCATGCGAAATCGATCCACCTGTTCCTCACGTTTCGTATCGCTCATCTCGGCGTGAATGAGACCGATGTGCAGGCCGTCACCCGTGAGCTCCTTGGCGAGCACCTTGGCCCGGTCCTTGGACTGCGTGAAGATGATAACGGGCGGTTTGATGCCGTCGCGAATGATTTGCCGAAGCGCCATGAGTTTTCCAGCCTCGTGCCCGCAGAATACCATGCGTTGCGCGATGGTGCTCGACGCGCTGTTTCTTTCGCCCACAGTGAGCCGGATCGGTCTCGGCATGACGCTTCGCGCGAGCTCCTCAACCTTTTCCGGAAGCGTCGCGCTGAAGAGCGCTCTCGTGATCTTCTTGTTATCGCACGCCGCGACGACGGCGTCGATCTGTTCGACGAAACCCATCTCGAAGAGCTTATCTGCCTCGTCTAGCACGAGATAAAGCACCTTGGACAGGTTAATCTTGTCGTCCTGCAGCAAAATTTTCAGCCGCATCGGCGTCGCGACGACGACGTCCACCTTGCTAAAATCGTTCCCCGCCGTCGCCTTGCTGAGCAGACATGACTTCAACCCACTAACGCCGCGCGAGAGCAAGCGCAGGATGCGTGCTGATTGACTCGCGAGCTCCTTAGTCGGGGCGAGGAGAAGCGCCCGTGCGCCACCCTCCTTGTGCGCCTTGAGTTTCATGATAATCGGAAGCAAGAACGCGAGCGTTTTCCCGCTTCCCGTCGGCGCGATCGCCAGTAATTCGTTCTTACCACACAGAATCGGTACCGCCTGGCGTTGAATCGGCGTGGGCTCTAAAAACTTCGCCTCTCGCATGCGTTCGAGCAGTCGTCCGCCGCACTTGAACCTCTTCTCGAGCTCATCGAACGTTTGTAGCGGCGCCGGACACGACCCATCCGCCCCTTGCACGCGAATCCTTAATTGTTTACGCATCGCGTTCGCCTCGTCGTCCGACAACTTGGTATATTTATGCGTCGCGGTCGCGGACGAACCCGCGCCTTCGTCCTCCTCCTCCTCGCTCGACCCACCGCCGTTCCGTCGTCGACGCCCGTCGTCGTCATCCCCCTCACCCCCATCCCCAGCCTTTTCGCTGAAACCCTTCGCCACCGCCGCGTCGACCGCGTTGAAGCGCTTTCGGTCGAATCGCGCGCCGCCGCAGAGCTCGGCGAACGCCAGCGCCTGCTTCGCCCTGCTCCCGACGCTCGCGGACATCACCGCGTCGGCGCGCGACGACGCGCGGTGCCGATCGTCAGAGGACGCCCCGCGGACGCCCGCGCGGTGCTCCCGGTGCCCCGAGCGAGCGACGCAGTGAACGAGCGAGAACACGACGAAAAGAAAAACCAAAAGAGAAACCAAAAGCGAAACCACGCCGTGAACAACGACCCAATACGACCCAATACGACCCAATACGACCAAAAGAGAAACCAAGCGTCAGCCGGGATTCCCACCGAGTTCCCTCGGTAGTACTAATCAGCCACAACACGTCCCCGGCGGCGCAGCGCAAGGGTCGTGCGCCGGTTTCCGCGGCCAAGGGCTCGAAGAGCGCCCCGGCGACCAAGCGGGCGACGAAGAAGGTGCGCGCGAAGACCACCTCTTCCCCGGCCGCCAAGAAGACCACCTCCGTTGCGGCGAAGAAGTCTTCCGGCTACACCAAGCGCGCCACCAAGCGCGTGCG